TAACTACTAATGAGCTCCAGCTATCCTGGGGGAAACTTCAGAGGGAACCAGCTACTAGATGGTTCGATTAGTCTTTCGCCCCTATACCCAAGTCAGACGATCGATTTGCACGTCAGAACCGCTTCGGACTTCCACCAGAGTTTCCTCTGGCTTCGTCCTGCTCAGGAATAGTTCACCATCTTTCGGGTCTCACCGCGTACGCTCTTCCTCCACCCTACTGTAAACAGTTAGAATGGGGCCATGCTGCCCTTTTTTACAAGATCGCACATCAGACTCTAAAGAGCCATTTACTTTCATTTCGCTTTTAGGTTTTCAACACCCAAAAACTTGCGCACACGATAAACTCCTTGGTCCGTGTTTCAAGACGGGTCGGATAGATGACCGGCTTTTACATGGGGAGCGAGTACGAGAGCATTAACTGGACCGATCTAAATGAAAAGCACGTGTCGCATGCGACCGTAACTTACAATCAGATCGAACCAATAAATGCCCGTAAACCATACTCAAATGTCCAAGACAAAAGATGCTAACGCTGTTTGGGTACCAGCAAGCTGGCCTCAAAACGGCGGTTACAAATCTGCCTCAAACATCCCCAAGCACCAAACAAGCAAATGCATCACAGAAAATTATGCTGCTTCTTTCTGTCCCAATCTGGAGCTCAGAGATCACAACATAAAAATAATGTAAATGAATACTTGAAAGATACGCCGACTCTATCCGTTTCCACCTCTCCGGTTTCACGTCCTCTTTAACTCTCTCTTCAAAGTGCTTTGCAACTTTCCTTCACAGTACTTGTTTGCTATCGGTCTCGTGGCAATATTGAGTCTTAGATGAAGTTTACCACCGACTTTGGGCTGCGATCCCAAACAACCCGACTCTAAAGCACGTAAATATCGCTCAATTATCTCAATGTACAGGACTTGCACCTTCTGTGGAACCCCTGTCAAGGGGACTTATTTGAGACAAAAGATTAAAAATTACGGCTTATACGCTACACCTCATAATGCCTTAGGCAAAATGATTTAGCGATGGACATTTCCCTATTCACTCGCCGTTACTGGGGGAATCCTGTTTAGTTTCTTTTCCTCCGCTTACTGATATGCTTAAGTTCAGCGGGTGCTCTCGACTGAGTTCAGGTCAAAAAATCAATATTGTTGATGATCCATGCAAACATTTAAACATATCCAACAATCAATTTAAAACATAAAGAAGCCACAAAAGCAATTATACAATAAAGCTTCCGCTTTGAAAGAAAATGACCCTGAACCAGACATAGCAAAGGGTTTGACCCCTATGCGGCAATATGCGTTCAAAACTTTTATGCTCAAGGCTGCTGCAGTTCGCAAAACTTATCGCAGTTTGCTGCGTTCTTCATCGATCCACGAGCCTAGTGATCCACCGGAAAGGCTAGGAATTTTGTTTTTTTTTAAATATAGAGAAAAAAAGAGTGCTGGCGTCCTCACTTAAGAGGCTCATTAAGTCTTAAACTCATTATAGTCCTAACATGTCACCACATATACAGCCACGGACGTTCACAACTGTATCAGCAACACCTAGACACCAGCGACAGCCGTTACACAACAATTATTTCATTGCGATTCAAAATTGAACATCACATAAAGTAATGATCCAGCAGCAGGTTCACCTACAGCTACCTTGTTACGACTTTTGCCCGGTTCAAGCCACTGCGATTAAATTGGTTTCCATCAAAATAATTTAGATAAATTAAATCAACGGTCCCCAAATTTCTCGAAATGGCTCAGTCCCGGGCAGCGACGGGCGGTGTGTACAAAGGGCAGGGACGTAATCAACGCGAGCTGATGACTCGCACTTACTTGGAATTCCTCGTTCACGGAAAATAATTGCAATTTCCGATCCCAATCACGGCAAATTTTCAATGGTTTACCCGCCCCTTTCAGGGTAGGACAAGCACGTTGATTTTGCCAGTGTAGCGCGCGTGCAGCCCCGGACATCTAAGGGCATCACAGACCTGTTATTGCTCAATTTCTTTCGGCTGAACGCCGCAAATCCCTCTAAGAAGCTGTATACACAAAGAGTATGTACCAACTATTTAGTAGGTTAGAGTCTCGCTCGTTATCGGAATAAACCAGACAAATCACTCCACGAACTAAGAACGGCCATGCACCACCATCCACTGAATCATGAAAAAGCTATCAATCTGTCAATCCTCACAGTGTCCGGGCCGGGTGAGTTTCCCCGTGTTGAGTCAAATTAAGCCGCAGGCTCCACTCCTGGTGGTGCCCTTCCGTCAATTCCTTTAAGTTTCAGCTTTGCAACCATACTTCCCCCGGAACCGGAAGACTTTCGTTTCCGGGAAGCTCCCCACCAAGGCAATATAATTTCCATCAGCGGATCGCTAGTTGGCATCGTTTACGGTCAGAACTAGGGCGGTATCTGATCGCCTTCGAACCTCTGACTTTCGTTCTTGATTAATGAAGACATTCTTGGCAAATGCTTTCGCTGTAGTTTGTCTGGCCACGGTCCAAGAATTTCACCTCTCACGGGGCCATACAAATGCCCCCGTTTGTCTCTGTTAACCATTATCTCAGTCCGTAAAACCAATAAAACTGAACCGAAATCGTTTTCTATTATTCCATGCACGATCATTCAAGCGAAAACGCCTGTTTGAAGCACTCTGATTTGTTCAAAGTAAACTTGCAATGACTGTTAAGAATCCTGTTAAGGACTCAAAACCGAACATTACGATAAATCGATAACACCCAGAAACACCCGAAGGGTTCCAAGGTACCGATACGAATCCAACTACGAGCAACCTAGCCACCTACACCTAAGTGAGGATGCAGCAGTATCCAGGCTTGCCCGCTAGGAGGCAAGCCCTTTTTTCTCGAATAATTTTCTTTATTTCGTTGCACTTTTCATGTTGCACTTTTTAAACATCAAAGGGAAATTTTTCTCAAAATCACAAGGAATCTATAATGACAAGATTTCACAAAAATCCATTTGTAAAGTGCAAATGTCCATGTGAAAGGCAAATTAAAGTTGCGCAATAAACAATTTTTCATGTGTTTATTTATTTTTATTAAAATTTATTTAAAAGGCTTCACTTAACTTCCCAAAACATTCATTTTTCTATTTTCAAAAAAATTTTTTTTTAATAATTTTTGAAGCTAAAGTAATATTATTAAAAAGATTTATTCATAATGAAGTTAAAAATATTTCTCATTTTGTTTCTCGACCTTATTGATGGAGGGATTGAAGGTTAGAGCATTTTAAGGTTGCTAATGAAGGTGTGGATAATTGAAAAAAATTAGGAATGAAACGGAGAATGATAAATAGGTTTATAGCTGTAGAGGGTTAGCAAGCCCGTTTTGCACTTCGGGAGTCTCTGATCCGATACGTGGGGCCTACTATTAGAGTAGTGCCAATCTCTGATATGGCACACCCGGTTTGCACTTAAAGGAGCTTCAGGTCCGACGCCTAGGGCCTATTATATTAAATCATATCGCTGATATATGTCAGATTTAAACTTAGAGCAAGAGCAAGATACTCCTCAAATTTCCTCGGACTTCTAATAATAATATAAACGGGACTCACTTGTGAGTCACTTTGAGTCACTCACTTGTAAGTCACTCTCACTTTATCTTATTATTTTTTCTGTCCGAGAGTGGCGTACAACCGAGGTCTGTCTATATTTAAAAATTTTTAAAGGAGCAAATTTGCCGTCAAATGTTGCTCCAATTCAACATACAACATCAAATGTTGGGGAAATAGCTCCTGCATCGTATGAAAATGGGAATAGTGTAAAATACCCGAATATTCCTTTCTATGGAAATCCAAAAATTTTGAAAGAAGGAGAAACAAGCTCGAAAAAAGGAAAAGCCAATGATTCGGGAAAAGTGGCTACTTCAAATAGATTTTCTGTTTTGCAAGGACTGACAGAAGAAAACCAAGAGAAAATGTTTGGGAATAAAGGAGAGGATAGGGAAATTTGTGAAAAGGTCCATGAAGATGGGGAGAACAATAAAATTAAAAAAAGATTTTCAATCCGTAAAAATATAAAATTGTTACAAGAAAATTCCCCATCTCCAGCTCCTTCACCAGACAGCGCTCCAATTTTTGATGACGATGATAAAACTTTTTGGTGTCCCAAAGTTATTAATGTTATGGTTATGGGATCATTGGCACTTTCTGGATTGCATCAAATGGGGGATTTGAAGTGTAAAATCTGTAAGTTGATAAGTTGAAATGCTTTTAAAGTCACAGGTTGGGCTAAAGTCTTTAGGAGATAACAAAAAATCTCTCTTTAGCCATCAAAGCCTAACAAGTATTTTTCGATTCCTTCATGTTCTATCACTTCCGTGTGTTTAGCAGGGATCCAGAAAATCTGGAATCGTGATTCTCTAACACGGAAATTAATACTCTGTGGAGCCTATCCTATTTGTGAAGCTTTATCGTTTTAGCTTACTTCTATACTCCTTGGAGACAAAAATAGGAGTCTACAACGGGTTCCAGGATATCCACAGGTATCTCCCAAGATATCCAAGGATATCTTCCTCCTTAAGAAAGTACTCTGTTCCTAGAAATATTTTAAAAATTTAAAACAGCCCCCGATTTTGGAATTAATCGAAATTTGCCTTCTTGCATCAAAACCAACGAGACACACAACCACATAAACTTCAATTGCGATTCCAAAAAAAATGTAGAAGCCTCAGAAAAAAAATTCTTCGAGCACTACAAGAATAACCAAATTTTCGAATTGTATTGCCCCATTGGAAAAAACGGGGAAATGGAGAAGGTTGCTGAGGCTAACGCTACACGTATTAACCGTAAATACAAAAAGAACTGGAAGTTGAAGTTTGTTCAGCAAAAGAAGGAGAATTAAGAGAAATTAATTGAGGAGGGGAACTGATAAGAGAATGTCGATGATTAAATGTTATATTATACAGTCGGGACCTCGATTTTGAATTCCTCTTTGGGGCTGGGATATTTTTATTAAAGCAAGAGTGAGGTAAAAGTTTAATCCCGGGCAGGCTTCGATCCTGCGACCTCCTGACAGTTATTGCTAGGCGCTTTCGCTCACCACTAAAGGTGCTCTACCGAATGAGCTACCGGGACGCTGCTTTTCACCTTCTCTTTTAATAGATCTTAAACCCCCGCCTAGTGAGCGTTTTAAATGCTAGCCAGCTGGATCTTTTCTCTCTTTCTCTTGCTTACATTAAAAATGCGGGGGTTTTGAGGTACCGTTCTAGAGGGTAAGTCCAAAACAACGGGCGGCCATAACAACGCAAAGCCAAAACTAGCCGGCAAATTTCTGGCCCTTATCAATTTTGGTACCAAACTCTTTAGCTCGATGAGAGGAATCGTTTAATACTAAATTTGTTAAGATTTGGAAATTGGAAGCAAGTTATGGCTTTGCGTTGTTATGGCCATGCGTTGTGTTGGGCGTGTTCCCAGTTTTAGTAGGGTTGAGTGTATCATAGTGGTGTATCATTTAGGCATTTCCGCGTTCCCTGTAGCCAAACAAATATTCAAATCTTACATACGTAAAGATGGGTATCTGAAATTGGAAATATTTAAAATCGAGGTTAGACTGGCTGAATGAAGTCTACCTTATAGTGAGGTCCGGCTGTATACAAGAATGTCTTCTTTAATCCTTCCTAAAATTGATCCATTCTTCCAATATTTATTCACATAATTTGCTAGTTTAGTTTACACGATTGTGATAAATATTTAATTTTCGGGTAATAATTGGAGTTATCCTTTTATGTCCAGCAGTGATGGAAAGGTTCCAGTTCCGGAACAGGGCGGTTCCAGAACCGGTCCAGAAGTGGAACCGTGGAACCGGCAAAGGTCTGGAACCGGTTTGGAAAGAATGGTTTGGAACCGGTTCCAGAATCGGAACCGGTTACAGAGAAATTTTGGAAGTTTTCTATCACTGATGTCCAGTTGTCTTGTGATTAAATTTCAATTATCTATTAAGTTAATTTAATTAATCATTGGCTAATTGTCTTGTGCTATTTTGTCCTCTCATTCTTTACATTCAAATCAGCAATCAACCGTCTGATACCCTAAAATATACACTGAAATATTTAGCACTCAAACGGCCCAATTAAAAGCGGGCATTAAATAGCTCGACATTATGTAAACCCACATTTTGCCAATAAGGCTAAAAATTTATTTTTTGACATTAAGCAGTGGTGACAAAATGTAAATTTTAACACTAATTGGCAAAATGTGGTTTTGGCAAAATGTCGAAACTTCTTTTCCTTCACTATTTTTTACATTTTTTTTCAATTTCTTCAATTATTTTTTGATTTTTCAATTTTTTTAAAGCTTTTCTTCAGAAAATAATGTTAATTTGTCGTCATTCTACAATGAAGACTCTTCAAATACCCAAAACTTTCAAATTGCTTCAACACCAACAAAAATTAATTCAGACGCGTCAACTTAGCAGCGATTCTTATGCTCAACTAATTTTGCAGTATACAATGGCCTATGCTGAAAATAGTTTTATGGCAAAAACTTTTGTTTATTCCTATCAAGGTTGTTTTTAATTTTAGGTAATATTAGGGCGTTTTTGAGGGGAAAGCTTTTTGCGGACAATTTTTGCGGATTTTTTGGGGTAACTTTGGGCAACGATTTTTGCGGACAAAACTTGCGGACTTTTTACCGAAACACTGGCTAAGAATTTTTGCAGATAAACGCGGACATAACCTTCGGATTTTTTGAGAAAACTCAGCAGGGGTTGGGCCTCTTCCGCTTCAGGATTTCTTCCGTCTTTTTTTGTTCCTCCTCTTCATCCGTTTTCCGCTTTTATATTGCGGAGGGGCTAAATCTTTTTACATAGTCGGAAAGCCATAACGGCTTTGTTTAAAATCACAGATACTATTCTAGTGTGCTTCGATTCAGCTTTTTGTAGGAATTAAGAGATTTGCAAAATTTAACGAGAATGTCCGCAAAGATTGTCCGCAAAAAAATTAATTCTTTATAGGGAACTCGTGATTTTTCTGCCTTTCTTTTTCGAGACACTACTATAGCTGGTAGTAGTCGAGACACTACTATAACCGTGTTTCTGTATTCCTCTTTTTTTGACTTTCGTAATCTATCGGGGCAAAACTCCCTCTGGGACCAAATGTCTCTTATACTATTTTTGGGGATAAAATGTCAGTTGGCGGATTGGTTGGATTAGCGGATCCTAGAAAGTTGACGGATATTCGGAACTCAATATTCGAATCGACTCCCTTACATTCTGGGCTTTTTCTAACAAGGATTTGTCAGGGACAAAATACCCCTCCTAATTTTTTGTTTGGGACCAAATGTCTCATTTCTCTAAAATCATTTTTAAAGCATCTATATTTTTTGTTTTACAGCTCTAGCATCAGTCAACTGTTTAGAATATACTGGTGGTGTTGTTGGCACAGCGATCGCCCTTCGTCTCATTACCTTCCCTCTCTTTGCAATATCCGAAAAATTGGTGGCTAAACGGATGATTGCAAATCAACTTATTAGGAGACAAGTTTATGAGGTTTACTTTAACTGCTTTTTTGAAATTAAATTAATTTTTGGGGCAGCATATCCCAAAGAAATTTTTGGGGTGACATTTGATCCCAAAATTAACAAAAAATTTGTAGTGGAATTTTGTCCGGGAGCAGGCCAACCTACCGCGAGCCCAATCTACCGCCGAGTTATAGCTTCGTTCAGAATTGTCGAATCCGGGGCGCCCTGTATGTTCGATTCAGCTCGTCGAGGCGCATCGAAGCATACTAGGTTTTCCCGGATTCGACAATTTTAGACGAAGTTATAGCTCGGCGGTAGGTTGGGGTGTACCCATTTTGTCCTTGCCAGATCCGGGTTGGAAAAAACCTTGAATTTCAGGAAGTGCATATCCATCGGCTTCATAGGATCCGCCAACTTTTCTCGTATATAAAAAAATATATTCGGGGTGACATTTTATCCCAAAATTACTTAGAAATTTGGGATGACTTTTTGTCCCCAAATGAATTTTTATTTTTAGGAAGCCGCTGCACATTATGGAGAAAAAGCCGTCGTTGATCCTGAAACTGGTAGAATGACGTTGGCTATGCCTGCAAAAATTTCAAATTATGAACATTTGAGAAGGAATGCAAAATTGCAAAAAATTGAAGAATTGGTTTATTTTAATTAATTTATTTTTTAAATTTTTTGGGAGGGGGAGAAGGTAAATTTTTCTTGTTTTAATAAGAGATGGGACTAGGATTAAGCTACTAAGACACCCAAAAAAATACCCCTCACTTTTTAATATTCCTGTGAATCGAAAGTTCTTCCATTTTTCTAGCGTGTGGGTTTTTTAATTTAACAGGGGAAAGTTTCTGTATTTGGTGGTCAGTCACAGGCATGTAGCCAGGATTTTTTTCGGGGCGAGGGCCTCCCTACTCCCCCTGGATATGGGTTTGGTCAGTCAGATATTCTTTTACCTTTTAAAAAAATTTTTTCGGAAAATTTCCCAAGGTTTCGATTTTAGGGGTATTTTTCCGTCTTTTCTATTCAAATTAATCATTAAAAAAATTTTTTTAATTTTTTAGTGTTATAAAACCCAATATGAATATGCTTTGGAAAACAAACTTCAACTCAACCGGATTTTCAATTTGAAAATTTGCACATTTCCTTTGTGGATGCACACTGCAATAGCCTTGAGGACAAGCGTTGATTGTTGGTTTTTCTACTTTTTTTAATTAAAAATGTGTCTTCCGGAATCAATTCTGATTTTATAAAATTTAATTAATTAGTTTCAGGAAAACACAATTAAATTCTGATTTGGTTCCTGTGTTTTTCTGTGAAATTAAAGTTTTCCGGAAAATACAAATTAAAAGTAATTTTCTGTTCCGGAATAAAAATGTGTTTTTTTCTGAGTTAATTCCGGAAAAATACAATTAAATTCTGATTTTAATTGTGTTTTCCTGAACAAATAAAATACATTTCTTTCCGGAAAACAAGAATTTTGTATTTTTCATTAATAATTAAAAATTTGCTTTTCCGGAAATAAATTCTGATTTTTAAAAAAATTGTTTTCCTCGGAAAATAAAGTTTTCCGAAAAAATACATTTAATTCTGATTTTGGTGTGTTTTCCTGAAAAAATAAAAAATACATTCTTTTCCGGAAAATACGAGTTATATTTTCCTTGAATAATTAAAAATGTGTTTTCCGGAAAATACAATTAAATTCTGATTTTATGTGTTTTTCTGGGAAATATAATTTTCCGGAAAATACAAATGAAAAATACAAATTTTCTGTTCTGAAATAAAAATGTGTTTTTTTCTGGGTTATTTCCGGAAAATACATTTAAATTCTGGTTTTAATTTTGTTTTCCTGAACAAATATAAAATAATTCTTTTCCGGAAATAAATACATTGTGTTTCTTCCGGAAATAATTCTGATTTTATTAAAATAATTATTTTCCGGAAAATACGAATTAAAGCTAATTTTCCTTCGGAAATATAAATGTATTTTTCTTCGCAATCATTTCCGGAAAATATTTTTAATTATTTTCCTGTTTCATTGTGTTTTCCGGAAAATAAATACATTGTGTTTCTTCGGGAAATTAATTCTGATTTTATTAAAATATTTATTTTCCGGAAAATACATTTAAATTCTGATTTTAATTGTATTTTCCTAAACAAATAAAAAATACATTTCTTTTCCGGAAAACGAGAATTTTGTATTTTCCATTAATAATTAAAAATGTGTATTTCCGGAAATAAATTCTGATTTTAAAAAATTGTTTTCCTCGGAAAATAACGTTTTCCGGAAAATACAAATTTTTGTGTTTACAAATTTTGTATTTCTTCGGGAAATTAATTCTGATTTTAATTGTATTTTCCTTTACAAACAAATAAATACATTCTTTTCCGGAAAAAATACAATTTATTTAAATTTTTGTATTTTTCCCTTTTAATTTTTTTCTTTTTTTCTAGTCGAAACTTCCTCAAAATTTGTTGGCTTTTTGTGGGTGCCTTCTTTTGCCCATGCTGATCCCTACATGATTTTACCTTTAACTTTTTGTGCTCTATCTTTCATAAATCTTTATGTTGGTTTATTTTCTGATTTTTTTAAAAATAATTTTTCTTTATTTTTTTAAGACTGGAAAATTAGTCCATGTTGTCTCATTGCAGTCTACGCCTAAAAAATTGTTTGCTTATACCATGACTGGTTTGACTATTGCTATTTCTATTGGAATAACTTATGTGCTTACAGAAATGCCGGCGGTAAATTTTTTATTGAAAAAATCTGAAAAAATTTCAGAAAAATTTTTAAAACAAAAAATTCTGAAAAAAGTCGGAATAAAAAACCAAAAAAAAATTCAGGAAAAAAAATCGTAGAAAATAAATTTCTGACAAAAACTTTCCAATAATTTTGTAAAATTTTCCCTTGATTTCCTCCCCCAAAATTCAATTATCAGAAAATTTTTGGTCCTTTTCCCTTCTGCCACCTCCACTACATTTTTGCTCAGAATGTCATATGGGGTAAGAAAAGGTGCTGAGTCAGACGGTACCACTCTTTTCTGGAGAGGCCTGTGAACCGAGATATAGGTCCCCGAAAATTGAAAAAGTCATAGGAGGGAGTAGACTAATTTTGGAGTGAAAGCCCCCCATATATGCCATTTTGAGCATTAATGTAGGGGAAGTGGAAGAACTGAAAAGTACCAAAATTTACAAAAATATCTGAAAATTTTTATTTTTCCCTCATTTTTCCCCTTGTATGTCTCCTCTAAAAAATCAAATTTTTTAGATCCAATCCCTCTATATGTGCACAATTCTTTTCACATCAATTATCCAAACGTTGGCTCTTAGACATCCCCGAGTTAAAAATTTATTAGGAATTGGAAGGCTTCCAACAGATTCAAAAACACCTTTCCGTGATTTGTTTAAAAGAAGGCGAATAATTATGCCTTCAAATATTATTTAATTTGTTTTTGGTTGTTTTATTTGTTGTTTATTTGTTTTTGAGTGTTTTCCGAAAACTTGTATTTTCTTAAGGGTGTTTTCTGAACTTTTATTTATTTAATTTAAAATACATTAAATTCTGATTCTTCCGGAAAACATTTAATTATTTGTGTTTTCCGGAAACATTTAAATATCTTACTTAATGTGTTTTCTTTAAAATGTTTAATTAAAGATCAGAATTAAATGTGTCTTAGGTTAAGTATATGTTTCCGAAGCTTAAGTGCTGTATCAATATTTTTAATATAATTGATACAAAATTGACACTTATTAAAGGGCATTTCTATAATTTTTAAAACTTATTTGATAAAAACCGCAAAAAATAATGAAAACACACAAATCAAAAAGACAATAGAAATGAATGAACATGATCTTTAAAAGTGATATGTTCAGTTTTATTAAAATATTTGAATATTTTGTAGCTATTTTAAAAAATATCGCTAAAAATGCCTTCAGTCTACACAAGCTATAAAATAAGAATATATAGAGTTGGAAGAAATGAAAAATATATACTTACTACTTTAAATTTTTTACTTATCAATTTTAATTCCAAATAAAGTAACTAAATTTAACTTAATTATCTAGAAATTATTGCTGACTTAGAAATACTGACCCAGAAAACAAGCAAAGCATGAGTGCCGGGCAATTATTTTTAATAAAAATACAAAATAGATAATAGATAATAAATAAAAAATAAAATTGATCTAGAAAAAAATAATTATAAAATACTATTAAAAGTCAAATATAAGGTCAAAATAATATTAAAAACTTTCACTCATTTTTACCGATAATAAAGTTGAACAAAATTTTCCTGTAATATGGAATGTCATCTTGAGAAAAAGCAATTTCTTTCTTTCAGTCAAATATTTAGCATACAAAATAGTGAATACACCACAATCAACTCCGTTCTGCTGTTGTGGAGCATTTTTTGAGATTCTTTTAACCCATTCCATCTTTGATCCAATATTACGGCCAAATTTATCAGCTATTGCAAAAATATAATATTCCTAAAATATATTTTCATTTTTTTCAATTCATATTACTCTAATTCATATTACTCTAACATATTACTCTAACTAACAAATAGCAAGGTATGGAGATTAAATTGTAAAAATACTAACCCAGAAAACAAGCTAAGCTTGAGTGCTGGATTATTATTTTTATTTATATAATTAAAAAAATTATAATATAACATCAAAATAAAATGCTGCAAAAATATCAAAATTAAATATCAATAATATTACATTTAAAAGAATAATCGTGGATTTGAAAATTTTCCTGTCATTGTATTTTTCAGTCTTTTTCCAGAAATCAAAGTCATTAACCGGAAAAATTTTCACATTATTGTCGTCTTTTGCAACAGTGTCATTAGCCGCAATAATTTTAACATTATTTTCCTCTTTTCCAACTTTCATATCTGTGTTACTCTATAAAATTACGAGAAAAATTAGAGTAAAATTGTAATTCATATCCTAAAAATTTTGAGTTGTTATATTTATTTAATCAAAGAAATCGCTTAATTTATTCTAATTATAAGACATATTAGACCAAATAAATATACTGATATGTTAAACTAAGATTATATAAAATAATTTCAAAGAATGTCAAATATATCCTATTACTTTCAATTTAAATTTAGCTTATAATAAAAATAATCATAATTACCTTTAAATTATAGATTTTATGGGATTTTCCCATTTCGTTTTCAATAATGCCAGCTTTAGTAACATTTTTTATTATTGTATCAGTTTTTGTATTTATAATGAACTCAGCCTCAGTTTGACCTGCACTTGAACCTGTTTCACTTTTCTATAAAATTTAGTTAATTACTATTTATAAAATTTTATTTTTTTCAAATTATAGTCTCTATAGTAAAGTTAAAATAGAAGGTATTATGTAAAACTAAAAATTTAAAAATATTACATTGTCCGTTAGTCGTTTTTCGCCGATATCTAATTCATCATTATTATCAGGACCTTGAACCAATGAGTCTGAAATTATCATGATTGAATTTTATTAAGAAATTTAAAATTTCGCTTATTTAGTCGAGTACATCATCTTTTCTAATACTAATAATACCATCATCTATTAGTTTCTGCAAATATTTAGAGCATTAGAAAAATTTAATTAGAATTAAGTTTAGATAAAGCATCATTAACCTTAATTTCAGTTCTGCTGTAGTATTCATGTTTAAACTTAGTTTTTCCGTGAACGGTGCGTATGTGTTTTCGAAGCGAGTGTTTGATACCTGAAATATTAAATTAGCAATATATTATATAACCACAATTTCTATTCCTTTAGACTTATATAACCACAATTTCTATTCCTTTAGACCACAAAATTGGCTGCTTCCCGTCCCGGATTATATAACCACAATTTCTATTTCTTTAGACCACAAAATTGGCTGCTTCCCGTCCTGGAAGAACTAAAATTTAATTTATATTAACTATGGAATCGCCAATTCAAGGGCTCTTTGGGTACTTTTTTGATGGCACCTAAAGATTTTAATTATTTACAAAAGAAGTAAATGCAAATTCTGGTGAATTTAAAGGAAATTGTGGTTATATAATATATTGCTAATTTAATATTTCAGGTATCAAACATTGCTTCGAAAACACATACGCACCGTTCACGGAAAAACTAAGTTTAAACATGAATACTACAGCAGAACTGAAATTAAGGTTAATGATGCTTTATCTAAACTTAATTCTAATTAAATTTTTCTAATGCTCTAAATATTTGCAGAAACTAATAGATGATGGTATTATTAGTATTAGAAAAGATGATGTACTCGACTAAATAAGCGAAATGTTAAATTTCTTAATAAAATTCAATCATGATAATTTCAGACTCATTGGTTCAAGGTCCTGATAATAATGATGAATTAGATATCGGCGAAAAACGACTAACGGACAATGTAATATTTTTAAATTTTTAGTTTTACATAATACCTTCTATTTTAACTTTACTATAGAGACTATAATTTGAAAAAAATAAAATTTTATAAATAGTAATTAACTAAATTTTATAGAAAAGTGAAACAGGTTCAAGTGCAGGTCAAACTGAGGCTGAGTTCATTATAAATACAAAAACTGATACAATAATAAAAAATGTTACTAAAGCTGGCATTATTGAAAACGAAATGGGAAAATCCCATAAAATCTATAATTTAAAGGTAATTATGATTATTTTTATTATAAGCTAAATTTAAATTGAAAGTAATAGGATATATTTGACATTCTTTGAAATTATTTTATATAATCTTAGTTTAACATATCAGTATATTTATTTGGTCTAATATGTCTTATAATTAGAATAAATTAAGCGATCTCTTTGATTAAATAAATATAACAACTCAAAATTTTTAGGATATGAATTACAATTTTACTCTAATTTTTCTCGTAATTTTATAGAGTAACACAGATATGAAAGTTGGAAAAGAGGAAAATAATGTTAAAATTATTGCGGCTAATGACACTGTTGCAAAAGACGACAATAATGTGAAAATTTTTCCGGTTAATGACTTTGATTTCTGGAAAAAGACTGAAAAATACAATGACAGGAAAATTTTCAAATCCACGATTATTCTTTTAAATGTAATATTATTGATATTTAATTTTGATATTTTTGCAGCATTTTATTTTGATGTTATATTATAATTTTTTTAATTATATAAATAAAAATAATAATCCAGCACTCAAGCTTAGCTTGTTTTCTGGGTTAGTATTTTTACAATTTAATCTCCATACCTTGCTATTTGTTAGTTAGAGTAATATGTTAGAGTAATATGAATTAGAGTAATATGAATTGAAAAAAATGAAAATATATTTTAGGAATATTATATTTTTGCAATAGCTGATAAATTTGGCCGTAATATTGGATCAAAGATGGAATGGGTTAAAAGAATCTCAAAAAATGCTCCACAACAGCAGAACGGAGTTGATTGTGGTGTATTCACTATTTTGTATGCTAAATATTTGACTGAAAGAAAGAAATTGCTTTTTCTCAAGATGACATTCCATATTACAGGAAAATTTTGTTCAACTTTATTATCGGTAAAAATGAGTGAAAGTTTTTAATATTATTTTGACCTTATATTTGACTTTTAATAGTATTTTATAATTATTTTTTTCTAGATCAATTTTATTTTTTATTTATTATCTATTATCTATTTTGTATTTTTATTAAAAATAATTGCCCGGCACTCATGCTTTGCTTGTTTTCTGGGTCAGTATTTCTAAGTCAGCAATAATTTCTAGATAATTAAGTTAAATTTAGTTACTTTATTTGGAATTAAAATTGATAAGTAAAAAATTTAAAGTAGTAAGTATATATTTTTCATTTCTTCCAACTCTATATATTCTTATTTTATAGCTTGTGTAGACTGAAGGCATTTTTAGCGATATTTTTTAAAATAGCTACAAAATATTCAAATATTTTAATAAAACTGAACATATCACTTTTAAAGATCATGTTCATTCATTTCTATTGTCTTTTTGATTTGTGTGTTTTCATTATTTTTTGCGGTTTTTATCAAATAAGTTTTAAAAATTATAGAAATGCCCTTTAATAAGTGTCAATTTTGTATCAATTATATTAAAAATATTGATACAGCACTTAAGCTTCGGAAACATATACTTAACCTAAGACACATTTAATTCTGATCTTTAATTAAACATTTTAAAGAAAACACATTAAGTAAGATATTTAAATGTTTCCGGAAAACACAAATAAATTTATAAATTCTTTTATTTTTTTAAATATTGATTTTAAATAAATTTAATAAATTTTATTGGTTTTATTTTCATGCACTGTTTTTTACAGTTCAATACTATATTTTTTTCTTTATTTCTTATTTAATTTTTTTAGTAGAAAATGCCTCTTCCTTTAAAAAATATTTTTTCTTTGACCTCAAAATTGGCTAAGTCTCGTCATGGATCTCTTCGCTTCCTAGGATTTAAGGCTCCTTTTATATCCACTAAAGAATCACCAGTTGTTGGACTTTTTGGAAACTTCCTCCTTCAGACTCCCAAAGGCTTTGAATTGCTTACACAAGCGGTGAATGCTCGTTCCGGTGAATTGGTAAGAGAAATAGTGGATGGAATTGAAGAAAGGGCTGTTGATCCAAAGGTTTTTATTTTTTTATTTATGGTTTTTTGGGAATTTTGTTTGGGTATCTGGTTTATTGTCCACAGATACCGTTGTTTTCTGTTAACTTTTTTTACAGAACGGGCAGGCTTTCCTTTGGTCCTTCCTAAACAATACAAATGTTTGAAAAAGGTGGAATTTGTGAAAAATAAGCCTGACCATTCTGTATATTCTTATGAAAAAATTTGGGGTGGGAAGGTATTGGGGACTTTATTGGGGACCCACAATTTTGGCAATTTAGGTATATAAGGTCAATATAAGTTTGGAGATGGGGGCAATTTTTTACAATATTTTAATTATTTAAAAGAATATTAATTTTCTTTTATTTTCAGAAATGCACCACTGTACAGTTAATTGATGACCTTTCTAATGAGATTTGTACTGCGGCAGATTTGGTTTTTTTTAAATTTAATTTTAAATATTTTAAAATAATTTTCGGTATTATTCCCCAGGTCCGCAGATTCTTATCCAGATTTTAAATTTTGGACAGAACCGGGACGGAATCTCTAACAATAATCAAAGTTACCGGGAATCGATATTTTTCAAGATTTTTTATGTCCTTCCCAGTCCTGTTAACGGGCTATGCTATCCGAAACCTGGACTTTTTTCGACTTTAAATCATAGCGAATAATTTTCGAAAGTTTCGGCCCATCCCTGTTTCTTTAATTTAAATTTAATATTCTTTAATTTATCTTTGAATTTAAATTTTTTAAATTTAAGACTGATTGTGTTCGTTGTATGCATACTGATCCAAAATTTACTGAAGCTGCAGAAAAGAGCATGCGCTTCTTCACTTGCCTGGTTGAGACTTTGAATACAACGCCTGTATTAATTTTGATTTTTATTTAAAAAATTTTTTTGAAAAATTTTTGCGGACAAAATTTTGCTGATTTTTTGAAGTATTAATGAAATAATTTTTTCAATTTTTAAAAATTTTCTAGAAATTTTTCAATATTTTAGGGGTACTTTATTAATATCCCGCCCCCCACCCCTATTAGAGTCTCAGATTAATTTTTCCTTTTTTTGCTGTCAATCATTCTTTCACTCACAAATCTTAGGTAAATGACAAGTGAAGGCCTCCTTTATAATTTTTCTCCTAACTTTTCATTTGCTTAAAATTTGTGAGGGAAAGAATGATTGACAGTAAAAAATGAAAATTAATCTGAGACTCTAATAGGGGTGGGGGGCGGGATATTAATAAAGTACCATTTTAGGAATTATATTTTGCATTGAAACGCTCTCTTGAAACAGAATCTTCACGTTTGGACCCAGTTAGTTTGAGGACGGCAAAAATGCTTTTAGAGGATTTTGAGCTTTCTGGAGTGCTTTTATCTGATTCTGAGGTTTGGAATTTTTTTTAATTTTTAATTCGTGGGGATTTTTTCTATTTTTATTCATAAAGTCTGTAAGAATAAAATTCAGGGTTATCCCCCAATTTTTTTTCCAAATTTTTTCAGGGGTTAAAGAGGGCGGGGGGTTTCAGGAGGTTATTTTTGGCATTTTGTGTCTCTAAACATTTATATTTTTGTCAAATAAAGAGAAGTCACGGATAGAGAAAAAATCGAATAGTATTTCAGTTTAGGGAATTTTTTGCAAATTGCTAGGATCGGTCAATGCTGGGCGAGGTCGCAATCGAAAAAAATTCCCTTTTTTGATTATCCTTCACCCTGTTTTTTCCCTCTTTCCTCATTTCGAGTGGGGGGGGAGGGCTTTAGCCCCAGAAGCCCATCTTACTACGCCCTTGTGACCGTGGACTAATTTTTAAAAAATTTTCAAAATTTTTTAAAAAAAATTTTCTCCAATAAATTTCATTAAAATTTTTGTAGCGTCAACGCTTTGTCCAATTATCTAATGAAATTTTTGATGCTGGAACCAAATTTGTTGCTGGGACGGATAAGCCCGTTGAATTGACTGAAGATGACAAGAAAGACTTTCTTAAAGATCTCAAATTACTAGAGTGGCCACTTTTTCAACATGAGGACTCAAAACTTAGGAAATTTACTTTTAACAAATTTTATCGACATAATGACGAGCAGGTTTTTAAATCTTAAAAAAATTTTTTTTGGAAAATTTTTTGAAAAGAAATTAATTTTTTATACAAAATTTATTGAAATTTTTCTGTATTTTTCGTTTATTTTCTTTGTACCCCTTATCAGAGATTGGTCTGGATCTGGATCCAGGCTGGATTTTTTCTCGATCCAGAGTCAAGATCCAGGCATTTTTTTTACCGTCCTGGATTTTTCCTGGATCCAGATCAAGAATCCTGTCTAGGTTACTAACCTAAATCCAGAATCTAGGATTTTTGAAAATACCGATCTTTTTTGGGAGACCTCTTTTGGGGGGAGACCTCTTTTGGGGGGAGACCTCTTATTTGGGAGACCTCTTTTGGGGGGAGACCTCTTTTGGGGGGAGACCTCTTGTTTGTTAGAAAATAATTTTTTTCAAAAATTTTTTTGAAAATTTCGAAAATTTCTTTTTTTTTTTTAATTTTTATTTTAAAAATTTCTTTTATAGGAATTATTGTTAAAACGCTTAATCTCTTCAAGACATCAAATTGCACAAATGACTGGATTTCCAACTTTTGCACACCGAGCACAAATAAATTCTATTCTGGGAAATTATGAAAATGCTCATAAATTTCTTACAAGTGTAATTGAGGTTTTTTTTTTAAATTTTTCGAAAAAATTTTTTTTAATTTTTTAAGGGATTTTCTAGTCAAATTGAGGGTGAAGTAGAACAAATTCGTGAGCTTGCCAATTTCAATTCTAAAAATGTGACTAATTTTAATACTGTTGGTTTGGCTGACGTTGAATTTGCTGTGAAGGTTTTGAAATTTTTGGATTTTATTCACATCAAATCTCAAATTAAAAAATACTTCTCTTTTTTGGGAGCTGGAAACCCCACCCCCTATATTAATAATGTGTTTTTTTCCTCTTTTAGGGGTGGGAAGAAAAAAATATATATTGTTGGCGACCGATTAATTTTCATTTGTGGTGGTGATTCAGGCATTAATTAACCGCGGTCACCAACAACAATCTGTGGTTTGAGGTCGTTTTGGGCAGTACCGGTTTTGACACTTTCTGTATTTTTTTAATCTTGCCTAAAAATTTCTTTTCTGAAATTCTAGCTAAAAAATCTGAAATTTTGGAAAACTTACAATTAAATAATCAAAGGGGGCTATTAAATACGAGGGCTATTAATTCAAATTTTTTTAGCAAATTTTTATGAGCGTGCGAAAAGAGGGTCCCGCGCCAAAACGATCCCAACCCAAAATTAACCGGACACCAACAAAAAACCTTTTAGAATTGGAATATTCATAAAATGCAAACAATTGAAGAAATCCCTCCCCTCTATGAATACTTTCATTTTGGAAAAATGCTTGAAGGATTTGAGGATATTGTTAATTTGCTTTATGGAATTACTTTTGTCAAGTCAATACCTAAACGTGGTGAATGTTGGGAAGGAAATGTGTTGAAATTGGTTTTTATTTTTTTTTTAATTTTTTGATTTTTATATATTTTTGCTCATTATTTCCCCAATAAGTCCACGAATTTTTCGAAAAAATTTTCAGAAATTTTTTTGATTTTTTTGAAAAAATTTCAAAAAAATTTTCTAGTTTTCGAAAAATTTTTAATTATTAATCCTTTGAGAAGGAAAACGGACAAACATTTGCGGACGTTGTTGTTGGGAGATAATGAGTAAATACTTTTTAATTTAGAATTTTTTTTTAATTTTAGGAGGTTTATAGAAAAGACGAATTTAATGACAAAATATTTCTCGGCCTTATTTACATTGATATAGACCAGCGGGATTCCAAGCTTCAAGGCGATTGTCATTTTACTGTGAGGTGTTCTAAAAAGGTTTGGAAAGTATTTTTTGAGAAAAATTTTTGTAAATTTTTTGGAGATTTTTTAAATTCCCGGGTACATAATCATTTTAGTGTGATAAATCCCTTGGGGCTGCAAAAAATTGGAAAACCTTATGAATTAAGAGGTTATAGTTAGGGTTTCACCTGAATCGAAATTTTGACTGGAACCGGATCAAATTTGAGTTCCAGTTTACTTACCAAAACCGAAACTTTCCGGAACCGCAACTTCCGGTGAAACCCTAGTTATAATCCCTTAATGCCAAGAAGTCTAATTATCACTGACGGTTTTTGGGTAGGTTTAGCATCTCGAGTCTTTCTCGTGTTCGTTTTTTGACGCTTTTTTGGAGGATTTGTCAGTTTGGCGTCATTTCCCCCTGTTTAGCATTACGACAGTTATTGAGGGGCATTTCGAATTATTCCCACAATTAGGCATTTCGGATGCGTATTCACTTCCTTAATTCTTTGTAAAATTTTTTATTTTTAAATAAATTTTTTAAGCTTCAAAACGGCGAATTCCAAACACCTATAGTTGTTGTATCTTTGGGTTTTAATTATGCTTATTGTTTGGATCTATATTCTGATGGTACAATTGGTGAGGTATAAAAATTCAGAATTTTTTGAAAAAATTTTTAATCAAAAAAGATGAGAAAAATCAGAAAAAAATCAGAACCCGTGAAAATCTGAACCAGAATAAAAACAGAAAATTGAGAAAGAATCAGAACAAAAAATCAGAAAAAAATTCAAAAAAAAATTTTTTTCTAGATAGAAATGCATCCCCACCAAGTAGAAAATTTTTTTCACGAGATGGGCCATGCAATGCATTCAATATTGGGAAGGACTGTTTTTCAACATGTTGCCGGTTTATTTTTAAAAAATAAAATTCGAAAAAAATTTTTTTTTAATTTTTAGGAACTCGTTGTTCTACTGATTTTGCTGAGGTTCCTTCACATTTGATGGAATGCTTTTTTAATGATCCGAAGGTTTTTTGAATAAAAATTTTTGGGGGTATTTTTTGCCTATTGTCCCTCACTCTCCTTTTCTTTACGATTTTCTTCAAAAATACAAGTCAACTAAGTGGATGAGTCTAAATTTGCGTACTTTTTGTGAACTGATACTTGACTAAAAAATAAATATAGGAGGGTATTAGAAATCTCTGACTTGTCCCACATTTAGAAAATTATTTTTGGATAGTCCGGTGTTCCACGCCTAGCATAGAAAAAATTTTTTTTCGAGTCGAAAAAAGTTCAGGGGTTTGGCTCTCTGGTAAATGGGAAACCTTATTATTTCCTGACATCTATGGATAACATATATTTTTGAAAATCAGTAAAGAAAATTGGAGAGGGGAGGGCAAGGGTTGTGAATACCTAACAAATAAATTTTTCTGAAATTTTTAACTTTAAATAATTTTTTTTCAGATTTTTCAAAAAATTTGTCGAAGTGCTCAAACTGGTTGTATGTTGGACGATGACTTAGTTTTGGCTCTTATTAAAAGGCGAAAATTGTTTCCTGCTGTAAAATATACACAACAGGTAGTTGATTAAATAGAATTTTCTTTGAAAAAATTTTCAAAATTTTGAAATTTTTTTGTAAAAATTGCAGAAAAATTTTTCAAAAATTTTTTGAAAATTGAAAAAATATTTGAGAAAATTTTCAAAAAATTTTTCAAAATTTTTTTTTCAAAGGCAATTTATTCTCTTTTTGACCTCGAACTGCATGGAGAACATGCTGAAGCTATTTCTCAAAATAAATTTACTACAACGGATCTCTTTATTAATTTGCATAAACAAGCACTTCCACAGTTTCATATTGAGCCTGATTATGCATTTCATCATAGGTAGAGTTTAAATTCTGATTTTTTCAAGTTTGTAATTTTAAAATTCTGATTTTTTTCTGTCTTTTCAAGAGTGTAATTCTGATTTTTTTTTATAAATTCTGATTTTTTAATTTGTAAATTCTGACATTTCTTAAGATTGCGAGTCTGAACGTTTAATTTATAAATTCTGATTTTTTGTTAATTTTTTAAATTCTGATTTTTCAAGTTTGTAATTCTGATTTTTAATTATTAAATTTAAGTCTTTTTCTGAATCTTAAGTTTGCGATTCTGATTTTTTCTTTTTAAGAGATTTAAAGCTTTTTGTTTGCGTTCTGATTTACTGACTTAAAAAATCAGAATCCAATTAATTTTATGAAATTTAAAACATTCTGGTCTTATAATTTTTCCTGTTTTTAAGTTTGTAATTCTGTTCTTTTTAATTTTAAAAACTTTCCTGTTTATTTTATAAATTCTGATATACTTCAGGTTTATTAGGTGAATTCTGACTGCTAATTCTGATTTTTGTGTTGATTTTTTTATTCTGATTTTTATTTTTCTAACTTTTCAATCCTGATTTTTTTCTTTCAGATTTTCTCATCTAGTATCTTATGGAGCAAGTAATTAATTTTCTTTTTTTATTTAAAAAATTCTGATAAATTTCAGAATATTATTCCTATCTTCTTGCTCGTGCTAGTTCTGCAATGATTTATAACAAATTATTTGCTAATAATCTTATTTATGAAAAAGCAAATGGGGAAGCATGGGCGGAGGTGGGTTTTGGATTTTTTTGAAAAATTTTAAGAAATGTTTGGAATTTTTCTAGGATTTTTGAAAAAAAAATTAAAAAAAAATTCTGAAAATTTATTTTGAAATTTTGAATTCTTTTGGAAAATTTTTCGAAAAAATTGGGAGAATTTTTAAATTTGAAAGGTTCAATCCCATGGAGGAGAATACTCTTCAGACGTCCTTTTGGCTAAAGCTTTGGGAATCTCTACAGTCCCATCCGTCGAGCAATTGACCCAGTCGCTTATAATGGAGGCTAAATCTCCAAAATTTTAAAGTTTATATTTAATTAAATTATTTTTAGACTTTTAAAATTGTTTTTTATTTTGAAAATTTTATTTAAAATTTATTCAAAAATTTTCGCAAAAAAAATCGAAAAAATTTTTTCCCAAAATTGTTTAAAAATTATTTAAAATTGTTTTTGGTTGTTTTATTTGTTATTTATTTGTTCTTGAGTGTTTTCCGGAAATGTTTTCTGATTTTGTTTAATTTGACTTTTCCGTAAACATGTACCGTATTTATTCTAATAGAATGGCCGCCACTCTATTTTTCGATACCCCCGAAAGAGGGCCATTCAATTGGAGGGGCCATTCTAATGGAGGTGGCCATTCTATTTTTCATAGGTTAGAATCTGAGATTGGATGAATCTAATCGAATATTTTTCGACATCGAAATTCAATCAATTTTTCTTGTAAAATTCTTTATTTTCGATTTTGGTTAGTGAATTTTCTTAATCGTATCACTATAAAATATAAAAGCCTTTTGCTGGCTGGCTAAAAAGGCAACGTTTGATTTAATTCGGTGCCACACAATCAAAATTTCCAGTACAGTTGGCTCTTAAAAGCCCGCGGGATCTTGGAATTTGGACGTAATTTATTGAAATTGGGAGAGATTTGGAGGGATATTGATGAATTTGGATGATATCGAAGGATTAATAAGTACTGAAAATTCTAAAGGGTAAAAATTCTAAAGAGTCAAGGGGTTACTATACCAAATCTCACCAAATCCATCATTATTTCTGTAAATCCTATGTATCCCAGCAAGTTCTCTGATAAATCTAATCCATCCAATCCATGAATATCTAACCTTAAGTCTCAATTCCTTGATAGTAGTACTACCAATGGAAATCTTCGGATCAGATATCCGAACCGGATCCGATAACCTTATATCCAATTTCCTTATATAGTCCAAATTCATAAATATCTATTAATTCTCCTAATCCCTTGCGCCTTCATTAAAACGTTGTAATTTCTTGATATCCCTCCTAATCCTCTCAAATCCCCTAATATCCCTCTTAATCTCCCTTTTATTACTCAAGATTTGCTCAAAAATATTATGATTATCCTAACTAAAGAGTACTATTTAACAGGTAATAAGAAAATAAAGAAATGTATTAGGTATATGTTTTGTAGTTAAAAGGGCCATTCTATTGGAGGGGCCATTCAAATAGAGGTGGCCACTCTATTTTTCGATACCCCCAAAAAGGGGCCATTCTATTGGAGGGGCCATTCTAATGGAGGGGCCATTCTATTAGAATAAATACGGTATTTTCTTATGGGTTTTCTCAACTTTTATTTGTTTGGTCTAAGAAAATACATGTATTAAATTCTGATTTTTCCGGAAAATACCTAAGCAAATTTATTTAAAATGCTTAAATAAATATTAATAAACTCATTGTTTTTATATTTATGCAATGTTTAGACTTCAATTTATTTTTAAAATTTTTTAAAATTAATTTATTATTTGATTTTTTTAGTAGAAAATGCCTCCTGTGAATTGCTAAAGGAAATTGTGGATGGAATTGAAGAAAGGGCTGTTGTTCCTGAGGTTAATTTTATTTTTTTTATTTTTTTAAATTCTGTCCTTTTTCTTGGTTATTTAAAGGTCGAGCAATGCTGCATCTTACACCAATGCACTGGATCTGTTCCCTGGACAAAGGGTTGTGGGCTTGGTGAAAACAACCAAGGTGAACTAATTAATTTTATTATACTTTAGTTATTAATACGATTTTGAAAATTTTTTGACCATTTATGGGAACTTTTTAAAGAAAATTAGTATTATTAAAAAATAATTTTTCGATGTTAAAAATATCATTGGAGAATTTTGTAAAAAATATATAAAAAATAAAGTTTAAAGTTTTATAAGTTTACAATAAATAAGTTTTATATTTAAGATAATGCTGAGAATTAATTTGAAAAAAATTCAAGCAAGGACCAACATGAAACCTGTTGGATCAGAGTTCAACAAGTTCATGGAATACTATAATAATAGTTCAAATGAAGTAAAAAATGATAAACAACGAATGTGTTGTTTTCGCTAAATGCATGTATGTTTTTAAGGCATGTATAAATATTTGCTTGTTATGACTAGGGACAGCCAAAACATGCAAATGCATGTTTTGTATGCTGATATGCCTTAACGTGGGAAGCCCAAAAATGGTGTTTTTACATTGGTACGAGCACTTTAGGACCCGGTTCTTAATGCATATATTTGCATATTTCGGCCCTCCCGTGCATATTTGCATATTTGTGCATATTTTGGCAACTTTTGCATATTTTGGTCCATATTTCGGCATTTTTTGGTAAATTTTAGTAAAAATCGGCGAAAATTTTCAATTTTTCGGAATTTTTTTGGTCAAAAAATTTATTATAAAAATTTTATAAAAAAATTTTTTCGAAAAATTTTTCGGAAAAATTTTCTTTTGTTAAATTTCTATGCAATAATCTTAATTCCATAAAATCTTTTAAGAATTTTCTTAAATTGCGGGTTTGAAGGCTAATTTCGAGTTTTTGGCTTAAAATATTGATCTTTAAAGCATATTTTAACTAGTTTTTGGTGCATATTTCAGTGCATATTTTGGCAAATTTTGCATATTTTGGTGCATATTTTGAACTTTTTCGCTGCATATATATGCGCATATTTGGCGATTTTCCGTGCATATTTTGGCTGTCCCTAGTTATGACATTCTAGATAAAAAATTTATGGGGCGCATGAATTATTTTAGTGATGGATAAATTAATTTCTTTTAAATCTTTAACAAGAAAAATTATCATAAAAACATATTTAATTTTTATAAAATATTTAATTTATTAATTTAGTGAGTGCCACACAACGTTTAATGACTTAAAAGAATTTCATCAACATAAAAAAACGCAATGCGAGATACTGCGTAAGGATGTCCATGCAAAGGTAGCAAATATTTTATTAGTTCGAATTTATTGAGAAATATTTTTAGTCGCCACTTGACGAAATACTTAATGATGGCAAGGATACGACCCATCTACATAATGGTCATTTGTGGGATGGCAATTGTGCCATATGTAAAGACAAGTTTTATAAAAAAGTGAGGGCAAAGTTCCCTCCTCCTCCACCACAACAACAACATCCACTTCCAACTCCTCATCATCTTTTTCCTCCTCCACCAAAACCACCACAACTCCAACAAAGTCGTAACAATCCAAGACGACGTTTATTTTTTTAAAATTTATTATTGACCTACATATAGTTTGGACATTATATTATTTTGATATTATTTTATTTATTTTTATATTATATTATATATTTTCAATTAGTTATTTAAATAAAAATAATAATCCAGCACTCAAGCTTAGCTTGTTTTCTGGGTTAGTATTTATCATTTAATCCCCATACCTTGTTATCTACAATTCTATATTAATTAATTTTTATGAAAGTATTTTATTTTTAAGGTATCATGAATTATTTATAATAGTATCATGAATTATATTTTATCTTGAATAGTATTTTAATTACGGAAAATTTTCTTTAAAAATGAATATTTTTATAAATTCAATATAGATTGTAGATAATTTTATTTTCGGATGTTAATTGTATTTGGTTATTAAAATTTGACTTATTATTTTTCAAATAAATTTTTCAAAATTATTGTTTTTAACTTATGTATATGTAGTATGAAAGTTATTTTATAAATATTTTTGTGTGCAAAATTTTTTCTTTTTAAGAGGTTGTTGCCTTAATTATCTTTTTATTTTAAATTTTTGACCCTTTTAGAGTTTTTAGAAATTAAAAAAATTTTTTTGGAATATTTTCGAGATATTTTCTCTTTTTTCAAAATCACTTGGACGTTCAGTTTGGAGAACTTGTGCTTATATTTTTACTAACAAATTAATTTATGTGAGAGCAAAAATGAAAGAAAATGCAGAGCATTTCAAACAGAATGGAAGGCTGGTGACGACAAGTTTGTATATTTTTTGTTAAAGTTGGTAGGAGGGTAGACTGGGCATGGCGCGGTTACCGTTTAAAAATTCGGGGTTATTTTTATTTTCTAAAATTAGGGTTGCCGGCCCGGTTCGATTCGATAGATCGAATCAGGCATCGAATTTTTGCCCGAAAAAGACTCGACCGGTCCGGCCCGATTTAAATGACTCGAAAGTTGGCCTGGTTCGATAACGGCAACCCTATCTAAAATCCGCAAATCTTGTCCGCAAATTTGTCCGCAAAGGTTGAAAAGTTAGGAAGGGGCTTTTGAGTGTTGGATGTGGTATCTGAAACCCTGAGATTTTTTCGGCTCGAAACTAATCCGGAAAATTCCGAAATCCGACTAGTTGTCTGAACTCTGACATATTAACTCGATACCAGATCCAATTTTTCTCAAACCTGTCCCCTGATTTGAATGAAACTCTTGGTAGTTAAATAAAGAACCAAGGTTTGTCAGTTAATGTTTTTGTCCGCAAATATATAAGGCTGCAAATATTTGGGGCGTCTTGTAATGCCAAAACGTTGAAATGCAAAAATCAATTGAAATACCAAACGGGGGAAATACCAAACCTCAAAACTGTTCTAACAACAGGATTCGATGTGTGAGATGATTTGGCATTATAAGATGTTTTAACTTGAAAATTAATTTTTTTTATAGAAATCCTTCTCAAAATGATTTCAGAACAGAGCAGTTCATTTGTGTGTTAATCAACTTGGACCAGCTTTATGGTTGGAATTGGGTATTTCTGATGCTTATTTAATTAAAGCAATTGCTGGTGCTACTGGGAGAACGGTTTCTAAATTTTTTAAATTAATTTGGGGAGAGGGGGGGGAGGGATAGGGTGAAATTAGAGACCGGCGCGGGACAAAACTTGCGGACGTCCGCAAAAATTCATTTCAAAAATTTTTTTAAAATTAATTTAGGGAAAGGGGTAGGGAGATAGGTTGAAATTTTGGGATTTGTAAGGATTGGGGTTAATTTCTGTGGGCTCTTTTTGCGGATTTTTACGATATTTTTTACTGACATTTTTATTATTTCCTTTCTTTTCGACTTCCTTTACTACGTTTTTTTAATCCAAAATTTTAGAAATCCAGTTTCCGTCGTTGAGTTATAGATGAATTTCGGTTTTATTTTTGGGGGGATTTTTTAAGCACCCATTGTCAGTTATGAAATTTTTTTGTTTGTTACAACTAGAGACCGGTAAAATCGCGTTTGCGTGATTTTTTTTTTAAATCTTTGCAGGACGGGATCCCGCAAAATCCCGCGCGGGATCCTGTCCCGCATCGGTCTCTAGTTCCAACAACCCCAAAATTTTACAACACAAATTTATTTTCTAACAACCCCAATTTATAGAAAAGAAAATGATGGCTGCAGAAAAATAAAAAAAGAAAGAATGTCAGAAGATGCACTTACAATGAAAACTGCTTTTTGGGTTATTTTTAAATTTTTTTTTGAAATTTAAAAAAAAATTTTTTTCAGTGAAAGTCCACAAATTATTACTCCAGGAATTCCAATAAAACCAATGCTGGCACATCCAACAAAAGGAATTGATGAAATTTTTGATCGGTTTGGACAGGAAATGTTAGCTTGTGAATGGAAATATGATGGGGAGAAAGATGCATGGTTTTTTTAAATTTAATTTGGAGGGGGGATGCTTTAGAAATGATAGGCTATAAGTTACCTCTGGGGCTAACCTCGCTATTGCTCGGGAAATGCTGTTTTAACGACATGTTTGTGATGATGGACTGGGGATAGTCTGATCACCCGAACTCCAGATCCTTTAACCAAGGGCGTAGCCAGGGGGTCGATTTCAGGGGAGGAGGGGGGTGGGATGTGCACCAAAATTTTGGCGTTTACTTTGGCGTTATGAACGCATATTTTTTGTAAATAATTTTCATTCTTTAAGCGTCGCAGGCAAAAAATTTTGAGAATTTTGTGGGTTGTAGGCGTAAAAAATTCACTTTTCTGACCATTTCCCTCGTAAAATTTTTTCATTTTCCCCATTTCAGGGGGCTATAGCCCCAGAAACCCCCCCCTCTGGCTACGCCCTTGCTTTTAATCCGGAGCATGATCAGAGAAAATTTCCATAACTCCGGCCTGAAACTAGTCTCGACTTTTTTCAATCCAAGCATTCTTTGGGGTATATGGCGATTCCCTTAAGTATTTCTGTCATATTAGTCTCCTGCTGCCTTACAAGTTCTCTCACCTATATTTTTTTTAGATTCACCGTTTGTCAGATGGAAAGGTCAAAATTTTCTGTCGAAATCAAGAAGATTCAACAAATAAATTTCTTAATATTGTTGAACGTGTACCAAAATTTTGCAAGTTATTTGGATTCAAATGATTCTGAAGAAATTAACAAATTTTTTGAAGAATCGATTAAAGGAGATTGTTAAGGTTTTTTTAAATTTTTTTTATTTGGGAGGATTTTTGGGGGCTTGTTAGGGGAGAAATTAGGGGCGGCTAGTATACCTAGAGAAACGTGGAGATTTGTCCGCAAAAAATTTAAATTAAAATTTTTACAAAAAAAATTTTTGAGAAAATGTCCGCAAAAAAATTCCGCATTTTTTTAAAATACATTTTTAAAAAATTAAAAAATTTTTTTTCCAGCCTCGCCCTTATTATTCATTTGATCTATCATTGGCGCCTGATCATTGGTTTGAGCCAGCAATAGTTTGGGAAGTTAAGGCAGCAGATATCTCCGAGACATTTGGCTGCGAGAGGATTGGTGGACAGTGAAAAAAGGTTTTTTTTAATTATTATTTGTTCTTAACCTTCCTGTTTTTTCCTTTTCTCATTTCTGGGGGGGGGGGCTTTTAACACCAAAAGCCCCTCTGGCTACGCTCTTACTACCTTGGACTAATTTTGAAAAAATTAAAAAATTTTCAAAAAAATTTTCAAGTCTTTCAAAATTTTCTAAAAAAATTAATTTTTCTAAAAATTTTCACCAAAAAATTTCATTAAAATTTTTAAGGCATTTCTCTTCGTTTTCCTCGCTTTATTCGTCAACGTTATTGGAAATTATCAGCAGCAAAATTATAATTATAATAACAACAAAACAAAATCGCTTTCAACAACGAAACTGTGGTGGAAGATTTCATTATTCAAATCAATTTAACCAAAATGGCAATAATCGTCGTCGATATTCTGGACCTAGAGGTCATCCACCTCCTCTTCAACCTTTATTTGATGGAAGGTAAATTGTATTTTGTTTTGTCTGATTTTTCGTGGGTCTAGAAATATCGAGGTACTTTTCGGTTTTGCCACACCCTCCCATATATTCGCAGGTTATATTTTATATTTTTTCTTCAAATGCACAGAATGGTCAGACATTCCCCTTACTAAGGGAAATTGAAGGGAAAATTGAGTAAAAATAATTTTTTTCTCTATTAATGTCTCACATTGAACATGCAAAATTGATGGAATTTACGAAGGAAAAATATAAAATGTAACCTGCGAATATATGAGAGGGGTGTGGCTGAACCGAAAAGGAAAATGATAATTTTTATGAATCGGATTTGGTTCTTTTTTTATGAATATTTTTTTTGATTTTAGGGTTGTCTGGTTTTTTAACCCGGGGATATCGACGCAAATTCTTTTTTAATTAATTTAAACGTTGTAATTTATAAATTTTAAAGAATTAATGGACGTTTTATGACTCCTCCAATACATCCTCCACCAGAGACTAATTTGGCATTTGCTTTTTCTCATGTATATGGAACTAATAATCAAATAGGATGTCCTAGACGGACTATGGGAAGGGTATTTTTTTTTCAAAAATTTTTGTATAATTTTTTGAAGGACATATTCTCAGTAACATTACAATATACAATAAATGCAATGACTTGACTGCTTTCCAAAGCTGTTAAACAGGACATTGACCGAAAAGTGGAGACTGAAGCATTAAAAATATTGGATAAAATTTTTGAAGACCAATTGGAGGTAATTTTTTGAATTATTTTTTGATATTATTTAATGAGCAATACTTTGTGAGGGATGAGTTATATCGAGGCTAGATTTGTTTGGTTTTTCGAAAACTTTAAATTCTCTCAATACTCTAAATTCTCGGTGAAATCTCGTCTCTGACCGTCTTATTAATGTTTGTTTTTTCTTTTCAATTTTGATAAATTACATGTGTTTAAGTTAGGTTTTAGGAAAAAATAAAACTTGAAAAATGAAATTTAGTAATTTAGGAATTATTGAGCCAGCGCATCTGCCAGACAATTTTCCAATCCCCGTTGACATTTCCACGGATGAAATAGATGCAAAACTTGAGCAATTTTATGCCATAATTAATAACGGTGAAGCAATTATAAATGAATGTGAAAATTGGCATGAGTGGGCAAACACTGCAATTGTCCAGCTGCCTAAGAATATAACAACAATAAAAGACGAGACTCCTATAATTGCTCGTCATATTATAGTGCAGCTTTCCGTAAAAGCTTTGCCAATTGGGTATGTAAATCGTTATTTGAAAAATCTTGGAAGGGGTAAAAGTTTTATAGTCCATAAAATAGTAGCTATACTTACATAAAATTTCTCTGCGTCTTTTAAGAATATAACTTACTTTCTCTTTACTATTATCTTTCTGTTGCAAGACGCATGAGATATTTATGTAAGCGTAGTTATTTCCTCATTAAATCTTGAGAATAACTAGTGTTTTGTATAATTCTTTATTTATAGAATTAATTTTTATCCGATAATTATTTAGAGAATTGTGCCCAAAATTCTCTAAGTCTGGAGTCGGTATTTTAGCTAATGATCTTAATTAAGAATGAGAATATTGGTTTTCGTCAAATTAACAAATTGATAAGCTATGACAAGATATTGACTATGGGATACTTATTAGTATGCCAAATGCCTTATAATAAAGAAATGGATTTGGATGCATTTCTTGGAAAGTATAGTGAAGAAATGGCTATAATGAAACGTATACGTGAGGAGTTTGACAGGTCATTTATTGATGCTTGTCATCAATTTAGGGCGCTTTTATAATTTTTTTATTTAATTCTCACTTTATTTTAAAAATTTTTACTTTTATTAAAAATAATGGCCCAGCACTCGAGCTTAGCTTGTTTTCTGGGTCAGTATTTTTAATTCTGAATATTTAACATAGAATGGAATTTAGTACCACTTTTGTTTTAAAATTAAAAGTAAAAAATCTTTAATTATATTTCTTTGTTTATTATATGTATTATTTGTGTTGTCTTTTTTCAAGTTTTAGAATTATTTTAAGTTTGTAAATCTGTATAAATAATATTCTATTTAAAATTTAAATCTTATTAAAAATAAATTTAAAATTAATTTAAAATAATTAGAAATTTTTTAAAATTAATTCAAAATAATTATTTTTTATTATAATTTAGAAAATATTTTGACTTTAATTATCTAATTTATTTGATTCGATATAGAACAAACCGATAAATTTAAATGGCATGAAAAGATGAAGGATGGCAGAGTTATTTGCCCGCAAAAGCCAGGATTAAGTATTTTTGATTGATCCACAATTTGTATATTTTATTTCACAGGTTATTCGGATAAAATAACTAATTTGACGTATATTGATGGGTTTCCCGCTTTATTGGGAAGCGTAAATTTCAAAATTCCTGTTTATCATGGCGACGAACCACAAAGTGCTCAAATTAACAAGGTATTATTTTATTGAATAATAAGTAGACTTAGGATTTTTAGACACGAAAGATTAAAAGTTTTATCGTGCCTATATAGGTTGCTTGTGAAAATAATTTGAATAAATTTTAAGATAAAAATATCTTGACAGAAAAATAATTTTGAAATTTCAGGGAGGTGGTCAGACATACTTTTGGCAAAATCTTTGAGAATTTCTACTGTTCCATCTGTTGAACAATTGACCCTGTCGTTTACAATGAAGGCTAAATCTACACAATTTGATTATTAAATTTTATTTTATTAAATTATTTTCAGACTTTTAAAATTGTTTTTCATTTTGAAAAGTAAAATTTTTAAAAAATAAAATTTAAAAAATTTTTTCCTCAAAAATGGTTTTTAAAAATTTCCAAAATTTATTTTTTATTATTTTTTAATTTTTTTCCTTTTAATTTTATTCAAAACCTTGCTTATTTATACACCCTCGGGACCAGACCTGGACGAAACGTTTTGCTATTTCGTTAGTTTCGTTTCGTCAGGGGTCATTTCTTACTGTTTTTTGGGGGTCTCTGCTCGGGATCTTTAGAGATCTTTTCTCCTCCTTAACTCTAACCAAATTAAAAAATAATCGAATACTTAAAGGATAGGAATATTTAAATTGGGGGTATATATAAGCAAGGTTTTTAAATTTTATTTTTAGAAGATTTTGTTAAAAAAATGCGGACAACTACCCCTCTGCGTTACATGCGATTCTTTAAGCGCCGTGAAACACTTGCACAGGATCCGAAGAGTACAGAAACAAAAATGATATGGGATGCTGGCAAAAAAGTATTTGGAATGCTTGGATTTTTTATACCTACTGGGTGGGTTTTGTGTTTTTTAAATAAATATAAAATACATGTATTTTGATTTTAATAAAACATGTATTTTACACTGAGGATAAACTTGTAGAATTCAAGTTTATTTAATTCAAGTTTTGAATTTAAGTTTAAACTTGAATTTATACTTGGAGGCAAGTTTAGACTTAAATAAACTTGAACTCAAGCTTAAATGAAACTGATTAAAGTCTAAGCTTGATTTTAAGTTTACTTAATTAATTCAAGTTTATTAGGAGAATAGAAAATAAACCTGAATAAAACTTGAATTTAAGTTTAAACTTGCTTTCAAGTTTATTTAATAATTCAGGTTTATTCTTAAGTAAAATACAAAAATAAACTTGAAATTTCAATAAAACTTGAGTTTTTAAACTTGAATTATTTTCTAAAAACAAACTTGAACTAATAGAAACTTGAAATTTTAAATAAAACTTGAATTCAAGTTTTATTCAAGTATAAACTTGAATTTGAGTTTCATTAAAACTTAAATTTAAGTTAAAGTTTATTTCCAAGTTTAAACTTGGATTAAAGTTTATTATTTATTCTCCTCATAAATAAACTTGAATTATTAATCAAGCTTGAACATTTCAAGTTTATTTTTATTAAATAATTTTTCTTTACAGAATTCTCTGTTTCCCTGCAAAAGGTTAATTTTAATAAAAAATTAAAATTAATTTTCCTCCTTTTAAAAAGATGTGTTATTCGACTTGATGTTCTATAGAAACGAACGATTTCGTGGTTATGTTGAGCAGTATAGCCGTAAGAGTGAATCGTCTATGTGGACTTTTAAGTACGTGGAAAAAATTTTTTTTTGAAAATTTTGAAAAATTTTTTTTAATTTTTTTAAATTTTTAGAAATTTTTTTGAAAATTGTGAAAAAATTTTTTTTTGAAAAATTTCAAAAATTTTTTTTGAAAATTTTTTTAAAAATTTTTTTAAAAAAATTTTTGAAAATTTTGAAAATTTTTTTTTAATTTTTTGAAAAATTTTTTGAAAATTTTTCGAAATTGAAATTTATTCAAAAAAATTTTTTTAGCCAACAAATCAGACAATTCCATACATTTCGTGATTGGAATACAGAAGGAGAAGTTAGAAAGGAGAATCCATTGGAAAGTATGGGGCATATGGGCTAAAATATTTGCTTGTTATTTGTTTTATTAATTGAATTAAATTTTAGAAGAAAAAATTTTTAAAATTATTTTTCTCTATTTTGCTTGCTTTATAAAATGCTTTCCTCAACGTTGCGTATCTTACCAGATCGGACACCCAACTTCAAATTGGTCGTTTTGTAAGATTTAGAGGGTCAGGACCAGAGCTGTTTCGAAATTTTGATTTCGAGGGGTTTTTTTTCTTCGATTTTCGATAACCTCGGCGAGCTAAGTCGAGTGGTACCACTCTATTCACTGAAATGCCTGTGAATTGAGTTACAGGCCACCGAAAATCGAAAAACCAAAGGGGGGAGTGGGCACGGGTGAAAAATTTGAATATGCAAATGATAGCTCACTCGAAAGAGCTGAGAGCTGAGCTCGTCGATTTATATCCGTAATTATGTATACATTAGGGGTGTGCGAGTTTCGCAAATCCCTTGATTCGCCCCTCAAATCCCTTGATATCCCGGATGCCTGTCAAAATCCTAATGGTGATTGTAAGATTCAGTTGAGGCTTTGATTTGGAACAAAGCACTGAGTTGATAGATTCTTAAAGATTTCTCAGCGTATCGGAAAATTTTAAGAATTTCGCGTTTCGCCTTTCGCGGATTTTCGCGTTTTTTGGACTTTCGCGTTTCGCGTTTCATTTTTTAAATTTAATTTCGCCTTTCGCGTTTCACTTTTTAAAATCCGTTTCGGCACACCCCTGGTATACATCCGCAATTGTCGTGTGTATTTTGTATTATCAAAATTGCTATTTTGAAAAAAATATATAAAAATAATTATTCACACATTCAACACATTCCTCCACTTTAAATTATATTTTTAATCTTCGTTCCTTTTTTTAAGCTAATTTTTTCTCACACAATTGTTCGTTTATTCACTTCCTTTCTACTCTCACTTCATTTCTACTTTTACATTTAATAATTTAATTTATTTTTTTATTATTTTAGTTTTTCATTGACTTTAAATTAAATTTTTTTAAATTCATTTTTTGCTTCACATTTTTAGCAGGTTAATGCCTGTCAATTTATTTTTAAAAATATTTTTAGGCACATTTTAATATAATTTTTAAGCAGTCTTCAGTTTATTTATACACTCAATCAGATAATTATAAGCACCCGTTAAGTTTCGGCATTAGGGACCGTTCGAAAAACCTCTACTATCCATATTTAATTTATCAATGATTGTTTTTTTCCTTTGAATATGCATCAGAAAATCCTAAAAATATTTAAAAAAATTCTATCTTAACTTTAACGATGTTTTGGCCTTGATTTTTTTTCATCATTTTTTTCCAACCTTAATATATCTTTTCTTCCACGTTCAATTCCACTCTTTTTACCTGTAGCATATTCAATTGAGAGGACAGACAAAACACGGACGGACACACACAAAGTTGTTTTGTCTGTCCGTGGTTTATCTGTCCGTCTTCGTCTGTGTTTTGTCCGTACGTGATTGTCTGTCCGTGAGTGTATTTTTCTGTCCTCTCATTTGAATATGCCAAAGGTAAAGAGTGGAATTGCACGAAGAAGAAAAGACTGACCATTATTTATATATTAAGGTTGGAAAAAAATGATGAAAAAAAATCAAAGCGCCCTCTTATTCAGATAGGGTTGATGTTTTTATTCAAAAACTTGGGGGTGCTTATAATTTTCTGACAGAGTGTACGCTTTATTAAATTTTCTTCAAAAAGATGTTTTATTCTTTACCAACTGAGGTTCAACTGGATATCTTTAAATTTCTCAGTTTTAAAGAATTATGTTCAATCAACCAAACAAATTTATATTTTTATGAGTTTATTAACAAATTTGAAGGAGAACTTGCCCGGAATAAATTTTATGAGATAAAAATTGTAACGTTTTTAATTACTTTCAATTTTTAAGTTTAATTAAGGATTGTTGCGAACGTTTAAAAGGACCTCGTCAATATTTAATTACAACTAAAACTGAGAATTTTGACTTTCCATTGAACGAACAATTTGAAAAGGTGGTAAATTTAAAGGATAAACTTCGTTTTATGGTTCTAATCCAGATACGGATGATTTATATGTCATTCGAAAGAGCTCGGGTATTGTGACTTATAGAGGGGTTTTTTTTGGTTGAACCGATTTCGAAAAATGAGGTGTCAGTCGAAAGAGCACGTTGAGCTCTTTCGACTGAGCTATTATTTGTATAAAAAGTTGTTAAAAAATCGCCACTTAAGATCTTCGATTTTAGGTGCCTATATCTCGGTCCATTCAAGTGAGATTCGCTGATTTTTTTCATTCGATTCAGCTCAAGGAGCTCTTTCGAAGGAGCTATTATTTAAAAAATAGAATTTTTCACCCCAAAATCCACCACCCCATAAATTTGACCATTTCGAGCCCTGTATCTAGGCTCTCAGTTGAGTCTACGAACTAATGTTTATGACATTCGGCTCAGCTCGACGAGCTCTTTCGAATGACATATAAATCATCCATATCTGGATTAGAACCATAAAACGAAGTTAGGCCTATTTAAATATTTCTTTTTAGTGGGAAGATGGACTAGAAAAACCAATTTCGTTATATTTACCTGAGAAAGATTTTGATAAGGATATAGTTATATGCTTGACCAAAGGTTAAATTTTGTTAATTTGGTACTTTTCCGGGTAGTTTGTTCATATCCTGCCCCCCACTCCTATTTGAGTCTCAGATTAATTTTCCTTTTTCTTTACGGCCAATCATTTATTTTCCTCCTTTTTTAATGCCAATCATTTTTTCCTTCTAATATGGAACCCCAAAACGCGCGCAGATATAACGACGCAAAGCCATTACTTGCTGGAATATTTTTGACACTTGTCATTTTTGTTATCAATCTCTTCTGCTCGATGAGAGGAATCGTTTATGAAGCAAGTTATAGCTGCGCGCCCTTTTGGGTGTTCCATATTTAAAGGAAAAAATAATTGACATTAAAAAAGCAGAAAAATAAATGATTGACCGTAAAGAAAAGGAAAATTAATTTGTGACTCAAATAGGAGGGGGGTATCACAATACTTTTTTTTCCACCCTGGACCATTTTGAACCTTTTTATCTTGGCTCATCATCAAGATCTCGAGCTGATTTTGGTGTCTGCGACTCAGATCGAGGAGCTCTTTCGAATGACATATAATTTGTCCATATTCATGACCCTTTTTAAACATTTATAAAGTGCGGTCACAAAACAGAAATGTACCGTTTTTTTCCTTAAATCTTTTTTAATCTAGGATACCCATTTTCCAACGATGAAAATTTTTTACTTCGACTACCAACCATTATTAAAAGCAAAAATGATGTCAAAATTGTTTATTTTTATTTAAATAAATTATTTGATTGTTCTTTTGAATATTTTTACTTTCGAGAATATATATTCAATCCAGAATTAATTCAACTGTTATTTGGAAATGCCAAACAATTTTATATTCAAGTATTCAATCATCATTTCTCCCGTGGTATTTCTTACAATATTGAAAATTTACTTCAATTTACTTTGAACCATTCAATTGGTGAATATCTTATATTAAATTTTCGTCAAGATAAAGACATGGAAAAATATACAAATATTTTATTTAAAATTTTAACAAATGGAAATATTTTGGTAAAAATCCATTTATTGTTTCATGTGTTTTCGGAAAATTTGGATAATTCTATGAATATTTCTTTGCTTACTGATCCTATTGTTGAAGTAAGTTATAGGTACTTATGTAGTATCTCCCCACATGTCCGCAAATGTTTGTCTGCAACTTTTCTTCTTTTACTTCTCCTTCTTCTCTCATAGAGATTAAAAATGGTTAATGGCCCCTCATCCCAAAAAACAATTTAATTCAAAAACGATGCTTTTCTTATATTGCCTCCCTTATATAAAAATAAAATTATTCCGACCCTATCTGAATAAGAGACCGCTTTGATTTTTTTTCATCATTTTTTTCCTACTTTAAGATATGAATAATGGTCAGTCTTTTCTTCCGCGTTCAATTCCATTCGTTTTACCTGTGGCATATTCAAATGAGAGGACAGACAAAACATGGACGGATTCAAAGAGGAAGAAAAGACTGACCACGGACGAACTCGAACAGACAAAACACGGACGGACACAGACATACAAAACACGGGAGGACTCGGACAGAAAACACTCGTGTTTTGTCTGTCCGTGTGTGTGTGCTTTGTCTGTCCTCTCATTTGAATATGCCACAGGTAAAACGAATGGAATTGAACGCGGAAGAAAAGGCTGACCATTATTTATAAATTAAGGTAGGAAAAAATGATGAAAAAAATCAAAGCGCCCTCTTATTCAGATAGGGCCATTATTCCTTTGACCATTTTTAATCATTATGAGAGAAGAAGGAAAAGAAGAAAAGTTGCAGACAAACATTTGCGGACATGTGGGGAGATACTACATAAGTATCGAGTTATATTTATAGATTAGATTAAAAGCAATTCAAAATTTAAGTATATAGCAACATCTAGAGACTGTTTGGAGTTGCCTGACATTACTTTTGAGTTCCATAAATCAACAAAGCTTAAATTAAGCGAGAGAACAGAAAAAGTTAAAATTAGTCAATATGATGGCCTTAAATTAACAACTTATCGAATTACCAATATTTTTAACCCAAAAGTGTGTTTTGATTTTTATAATAGAGAAAGTAATTGGATGTCAGTAATTTTTCAACTTTCAAAGTCAAAATCAGAATAATGAAAAATTAGAATTTGAGAAGAAAATACATAAAGTTTTTGATTTATTGGAGAAATAAATATTTCGGCACTATCTGAAAGGAGGTGCGGGATCATATTTTTTCCGCCTTCCTTAAACAACCTTTCATTTTTCCTTAATATGAAAAAATGGTCAGTCTTTTCCACGCTCTTAATTTTCCATGTGGCATATTCAAATGAGAGACATTAATAAGGAAAGGATTAATTTTTTCTCATTGCTATTGTGAGGACGGAACATACAGGAGATGGAACGACAAAAATGTCGGACATGTCACCGTCTTACCAGATCACAGACCAGATCTTCGGTCAGTTTTTGGTCATTCCGTGTTATGGTCGCTCTGTTATTTGGTTGTTCCTTGATTTGGTAAGACGGTGTTTTGTCTGTTCCGAGTTTTGGTATGATCCGTGTCTTGTCTGTTCCGTAAGTTAGCCTGACATGATTCAAAAATCATAAATGATGACCATTTTCATTTGACTATGCCACAAGGAATTTTAGTAAAATAAGGAAGGAAGAAAGACTGACCATTTTTCCATATTAAGGAAAGATGAAAGGTTGTGTAAGGAAGGAGGAAAAAATATGATGCCGCACCTCCTTTCAGATAGAGCCAATATTTCTATTTAATTTTTTAATATTTTTAACTTTTTTAATTAAATTATTTTTTAAAATTTATTTGTATTTATTTGTTAAGTGTCTCATTGAGTTCCGTCGGTTGAGTCCAGGAGCCATATTTTGTGTCACAACTTCTTGGGTTTAACCAATTCGAATAACTTATAATTGAAAGCCCTTGATGTTGGGACTGGGCCATTAGGGCGCGGGGCCAGTAGGGCGCGAGCTTATAAAACAGTGATTTGCTTATCAAAAAAGATAAAATTTTGCAGTAATAATTCTCATGCCTTTATCTACGTTCTCCAAAAATTTTAGAATTTTTTATCAAGAATTTCAAAAATTGTGGCCAAAAATGTTGATTTTCCGAAAAAACCCTAATTTTTCGCGGTCTATCGACTATAACTTCAGAAATATCCGATGAAAAATTCTGAAATTTCTGAAGGAGGTAGTCAATGATGTTAAAGAAATCTGAGAAAATTTTCATAAATTTCGGTTTCGCCTAAATGTCAGTTTCTAGTGCTGGCGCCCCCGCGCCCCAACCCCTTGATGTTGGGATTATTTTTGCTAACTAAATTGATATGATCAGGTTATCCTACAAAAACTACTTCTAGATTATGTCAAAATAGTAAGTGATGAATATGACAAAATTGATCTATATTGAAAATTCTAAAATAATTTAATAGTTTCTTAATTTAAATTATACTAATAATCACGTCATTAAAAATATACGCCCAAAAATAATCACGCCCACTTTTGTATTATAATCAAGACGGAAAAACAATAATTTTGATGATTTTTATCGAAATCCAGGGGCCTATTCCACAAAGCGACATTGACATCAAATGTCGATGTCCAAATGTCAATCGCGATTGCGACATTGACATATGATAGTGTTCCAGTAAACGACAACTAAAATTGTGACATTTCTAATGACATTGACAGCAATTGTCAACATCGACACAAGATCGTGTTCCAATAACGAAATCAGTGTATGTCATTGTCGAAATGTCGATGTCGCCTATAAAATATTTGTTTTTTTCTAAATTTTGTTTATTTATTTTTTTCCTTTGAATTTTTTTCTTAATTTTTAGAGAAGTTTTTTAAAAAATGGATGAAAACAGTAAAACTGTCTTTTTGAAAGCTGTTTCCGAACGAAATGAGGATCTCTTTGGGAAATTTTTAAGTAAATTCACCGATATCAGGGATAGAGGAGGGAATGTTGATTTGCAGGAATACAGCACACATCCCAAAATCATGATCCCACGATATCGCGCCCAAATCTGATATATTACAAAGCTTCTTCCTTTTTCATTACAAAATTTTCGGAATTTAGGAAGCATAGAAGCATATTTCTTCCTTTTACAGTACTACAAGCAAAAATTTGCGAATTTTGGAAGGCCAACGAGCCAGATTTGTGATTTTTCATGTCGCAGGTGCAACTGATGAAACGCACTTCTCAAATCCCTAATCACTTTAAAACCACTTATTTTATTAAAAAGTTAATGGAAATATTCATAAAATGCTCAAAAAAGTAAATTTATCAAAAATTTTTATCAAAATTCCACATATTTCCCAATAGCGACATAGCGTTCGTGCTGTGTCGCCAAAATCGCGACATTTCGATTGCTAGTGTCGATTGACACTATAATTTAAAATCTTTGTGGAACACAATCGCGACATTTCGCTGTCAATGTCGCTAAAAGTAGATGTCAATGTCGATGTCACAAAATAATTTTGATGTCGCTATGTGGAACACAATCGCAATCGGAATGTCAACCGATTGCCAAATGTCGCGACATTTGATGTCAATGTCGCTTTGTGGAATAGGCCCCAGTTGGTGGCTGGGATGATCTTACTATGAAACACTATACTATTTATAAAACAGACTGTGAAGTCCAGATCATTCTGTTTGGAAGCCTTAAAAGATTTTTTTAAAAACTGAAAACGGAAGTATGTATAAGCAAGTGTAACTTTATAAATAAATCAAACAACTTGAAGAAAATTTGTTTTAACATTTATTATAATTTGTTCACTTAAAAGTTGATACTAAAATTTTTTATTACCAAAAAAATGAAAAATAAAGTTATATTAAATATTTAACGTTAGACTTGAAGTCTTCTGATTCTCATACCGTATTTACTTAAATCTTCAAAGGAATTATATTTAACTCCTTAGCTGGATGGTAAACAAATAGAGATTTCAATAGGGCAAAGTTATATAGATGAATACTGTAAAACATATATATTAGCTATTTAATTCCTGGAGCTGTGCAGTAGATGTCGGCAGTATTTCGTCTAACGGGATTATATGTTTCTCTTCAGGACGCCTGTGTAGTTGACCACTCTCTCTTTGTTAAAAGACGCAGAAAAACTGACCAGTGGTCGGCGGCGGCAGAGAAGCGTCTCGTTGTCTGCTCTAATCTCAAAATGTGCACATTTTACTGCATCTTTTACAAACGAAAGAGTGGTCGACAACACTTACACTCTGAAGAGAGACATATAATCCCGTTAGACAAAAAATTGCCGAGCTCTACTGTGCAGTAGGCGGCGTGCTGTAATGGATAACACATCAGTCCGGTCTCTGAAGATGCTAGATTAGCCTTTTGCACTAGCTAAAGGAGAGAAATAGCTATAACCAAGCTGCTTTACTATACGGCCCTTGGAAAAACGTTTAACTTTTTTAATTAATAATAAATAATATTTAAATAATTTTAAAAATATTGCCAATCAATTTTTTTATCCAAAGTACAAAAAATTTTGCGAGTACGAGTCTCTTGCTATATCCCTTGCCCTTTCAATACTATCCTGCCTATTCTTTAAAAATAAAATCCACATCAGATAAATTGATTCTTTAATTCTCTAATTCTCACTCTACACTATACAATAATAAGTCTCTAATAAAATTCTCCGATGCATAGACGCCGGAAAAAATTCACTAATAAACACATTCATTTGCATTATAGTATTTATTTAAAAATTTATTTAAGTTAATTTGTTTGCCCACATAACTGCGGTGTATAATACGGTGTATAATATACTCAAGGAGATAGAACTCTTTATGGAATAGAAACGCTCCAAGGTAACCCGAACTTAACAATTGGAGCTTGCTGGCAAGGGCCTTTCCATTTAGGGTATTTGATAAGACACTAGTTCGGGTTACCTTTCACCTTAATCGGTTAAGCTCTGAGGGTTGATCAGGTCCTCAGGCTTGTCAAAGCATGTTGTTATCGCAAAGTTGTTTAAGCGCCTTTATTCATTTAGGAAATATAATATTACATTAATACTTTACAAACATGTTTATGTGAAAATAACAATAACGGAAGTGGGAATCTAAGTGCCCATTAGTCTTACATACACCTTAGCCTTACTACACCCTACAGAATCAAGAAGGGGTATATTATCATGAAGACCAATGTTTAATAAAATTAGCCTCATAAAATGAAAGGTCAACGGAATAGAAACAGTCCTTCATAAACATAAATTGACAACAGAATAAAACAGAACTTATCAGTGCTTACATATCTTTACTTAAATCTACTCCTAGTTTTTCTAAAATCTGTCCCTGTGCTTTATTCACAGTCATAGCAAAAGCTAATACTAATGGAAATTGGTGCCTATACAAATCAAATGGGTACTCATCATCACAATACAGTGATGCGTGGGATCTCCAGTCAAAGTCTACAAACTATTAAGTTTGTTCTCAATTCTTGAACTAACATTCTAGTTCCGTTGTTTTTTATTCCTGTTATGTCCCGTATTCATTTATTTCCTGTTATGTCGATTTACCTTTAACTGATATTTCAATTATTTTATAAAATTCGTTAATTTTAGGAATAATGTTGATTTTATTCTTTATTATTTCTCTATCATGTCCATTATTTAATGGAATGGATCAAAATGATGTTGAAGTACAAAATGCTTGTTGTACTTCATGTTGGAATCACTTTGGAAATATATGCCCACAAAATTGCTGGGACTTTCATCTTGGAGAATGCATAAATGATTGCTGGAATAATTTTTGTAATTATTGCAATAATAGATTTTTTTGGAATCAAAATGCAACTCAATCTGATGATCAATATCAAGGGGAAGAGGAATGCGAAGAAGAAGATGATGAAGATGGAGGTGAAGGGGAATTTCAAGAAGAAAATCAAGATACTGAAGGACAGTGGCAAGATTATGATTGCGAAGCTCAAGTACAACATCAATATACCGAGAGAGAAAGTGACTTCATGCCTTCATCATACGGAGAAACCAGCTACCATTATGGATCATACGATGAGGATATTCACCAGTCTCATCAATACAACGAAGAGGCAACAGATTGGGAAAATCAGCCTTCTTCTTCTCAGACTGGAGGAATGCCTTATTATAACAGTTGGGATGATGACCTGACAGATCAAGTTGAAAATTTATCAGAACATATTCAAAACATAAAGTTAAAAGGTTACAAATTTTATTATTTTATCATAAAAATAATTTTTAATGAAAACTTTATTATAGAAGAAGATTTAATTGTTCAACATGAAGCGCTACAAGGTTGTCTTATTACCTTATAAAAGTGTTGTACCTTACCGAGTGTTTGAGAAAAAAGTGTTTAAGGATGGGAATCATAAATGAACGCTGTTTCGTTAATAATCAGCTTAAATTTGAGATTAATTTGTAAAATTCCATGGATTTTAAGATAACTATAACTTTATTTGTTATAAATACCCAACTAAATTAATTATTTATAATATAATTTAGATGAATTTTTGATACAAGTCAATGATAATTTGAATATACAAGGTATATTATAATAGTTTATATATAGAAGTTTGCTGAATCCATGCCCATTGTGGAGCATCGAATAATAGAATATGAGTGGAATACTAATTAATTACTGTACACAGCTGACACCGATTAAACGGGCGACGACTAGTTCCCCCGATCGGGCAATAATATAAAAATAATAATTCCCTTTACTGATTAACTGTCTGACTACTAGACTGACTAATAGACTGATCCTTTCCTTTGCTTATTCCCAGGATTATATTGTTTATGAATAGGCGGGGTCGCTGTGAAAGTTAGCTTAATATTTCTCAATACTATTTCCGCCATAAAATATATTATTATTTCCGCCTTACAATATAATATATATGTATACTCATTAACAATATCAAATATTTTGCTAAATTGAAGACATTTATAAAATTTAAGGACGATCTGATGCTGTTGATTACGACCTCTTGATGTTGTTTGACCAGAGAATTCTTCAAAATGCTAGCAACGTCTGCAATCACTTACTCAGCTTAGGGCCTTATGCTAATGAAGATACGCCTGTGACTAAAACATTTTGCGCAAGCATCAGAAATATAGAACTGTATTCGAATTCGTCTAAAGCCTCGAGAGAGAATGGCGATATTTATTACTATTTGCCTTTAAATAGTATTGTCAAGGCTATAAGAATTCAATATTATCACAATTATAAAATATATCCTTTTGAATGTGAGAATATTGACGAAATAAAAATTAAAATCAACAAAATTATAAATCCTGAAAGGAGTATTAGAGTTGGTGATTGGTCAATCAATCAACATTTTCAAATGTTAAATGATCATATTGCGGTATGTATTATACATGTCTCAGTCCAAATTCAATTCGGCCGGCGATTGAGCTCTAAAACCCCAAATTTTGTTGTTGCAAAGTTGGAGTTGGATTCCGAACATTTATTCATGTTCGGGAAATAAGCCCACTTCGTCTGGGATCATTCCTTACCCTATTCTTCGAATTCTTTTTATTTGTTGGTTTTTGGAGACCATTGGACTATTTGGTCAGTATATTAACAATTTTAATAGAATAAAATCTCGAAATTTTCCAAATATATTTTTAAAGGCAAAGCTTGAGGAAGGAATACAATTTCTCAAAGAATATAAGATTGCGAGGAAAAACAAAAAAATTTTTCATGAATTTGACTTCGAACAAGGTTTTATACTTTGATAGAAGAACAATATTGTAAGGCCGGTATCTCCTAAAAACAAGTAAAGAGCAAACAGTGCTCTAGGTAGCTGGGGAACGGGGCCAACCGCTTTACATTAAAAGAAAGAAAATAATATAAAAGTTGTTTAGAAGGATCTTCACGATAAATATGACTAGGATAACTAACTATTGCTATTATTTTATAATTTTTCTATTTATATTTAGATGTTATAAAACAACATGTTGTTGATATTGATGAATTATTGGCAAAAACAAAGGAAAATGCTTGTGAATGTACTTATGGTATATATCAACTTTGTGAGCAAGGAGGACCCGTAGATTGTTATTCAATTAAAGCTGTTCTATCTATGATAGCTGTGGACATTTTTGTAACAGCAATTCAAGTAGATGGATTTGATTTTCTGTTGGGGAAATGGCCTTTCCATATCTATAAATATGTAAGGGAAGAAAATGTTAATCAACAAGGTCAACAACAGATTCCTTGATATTTCGGAATATGATAAACTGTATCAATATTCTTGGTTGAAACTATATCATTTTTGGCGCTTGTCTAGTTTATGCTTCCAATAAAAATTGGATTCCCCTCCCCCTAACCCTCAAATATACATGTAGGGAGTCCTTAACCGCTGCTGAGCTTAAATCTCGCTCAGACTTGTTAAACAATGTTTTAAATGTTGAGTGAGTACCCTGATGCTGACTATATCATATGTATATGCCTCCAATATTATATTAAACAGTGATATATTTTTTTATTTCCTGCATTTTAAGTGCAAGTAATATAGATATCTTATTTGTAACCAAAACTTGGCTTACAACAGAAACGCAAAATATTTTTAACTTAGATATATTCGAAAAATTAAAATATAATTTTCCTAGGGGAGGAGGCTGCGCTGTTTTAATTAGGAAGCATATTAAGTTTTTTCTTAAGCAGTCCATTTCTAAGTTTAACTCAGAAGTTCATTGGACGCATAAACTAGACAAGCGCTTTATTTTTATCTTTCTTTCTGAGTTTTGTAGTTTAGATAACTATAAAGGGATAATTTGTATGACCTCAAAAAGTTAGCCTATTTCTAAAGCATTGTAATTGTTGAGCATTTTTAAATGGGGCAATTTAGAGATGCACTTATGTTTATTGAAAAAGTTTACATATTTTTTATAGGTATTTATAGAAACGTCCGAGACTCTTGATTTTGAGTCTTGATTTCAAGACTTTTCTTGGTTTTTTTCGGTTTTAGTCTTGGCCTTGGGGTGTTATTTTTTAAAGCATGGAATATTATATTTATTCAAAACTTCAAAATTATTTAACAAAAAAATTTTTTTCCGTTATTTTTTTGTTTTTTGTTAAATATTTTTGTTACTTTTATATATCATTTTTATTTAACATCTTTTATTTAACTTTTGATAAAATCTATTTTCTATTTAATATTGCAATATTATTCAAAGAAATTATGTTATTATTGTTTATCTTATCTATTCTACATAGATTTTAAGCATAGACAATTCAGATTGATATTCCAGTAGCTACTGAAAGTATTAAAAACACAGGTACCATCGTAGGAGCGCGATAAAATTTCGCGCACTTAATTCAAAAGTATTGGGTTGTTGGATGGGGAGGGATTAAGTGGATAAAAAGTGGACATTACATTAGAAAATGCAAAATTTAACGAGTTAAAAATTAATTGGCGTGCACCATATAATTGTGGAGCATTGGCACGTTTTCATTCACCAAATGGCACGTTTTCATTCACCAATTTACTTTACTTTGTGTGTTGGTTGAAAATTTAAGGTGATCTTTGTTTAAGGATTTAAAAATTGATAGAAGCCCATCTCTAATAGAGGATAGATAGAAGCCCATCTCTAATAGAAGCCCATATCTAATATAAGCCGTCCAAATTGACCCATTGAAAAAAGGACGCCCATCGCTTTTAAAATATTAATAAAATAATTAATTTATGTCTTAAATAAATAAATATTTTAATAATAATTTTTAAATAAAAATTATTAATTAAAATATTTATTTATTGATTACTTAGTAAATTTTAAATAATACGAAAAAATTAATTTAGTTTGAAAAAAATTAATTATTTAAGTAAAAACATTTTTAATAATTTTAAGATTTTCTTTCATAATTTTTACACCATAAAACTCCATTACAGCGGTTTCTCTTTTTAATTTTTCTGAAGCAAAAATTAACCATACACTTCATCTTCGAATAAACGCATCTATTCTTGTCATAAATTCCACATTGCTTACAAATCCATTCTTATGCTTTCTTTTCAATCTTTTCACAAACACACAATAAAATTTTTTGGTGTATTTTAAAAAATTGAATGAATAATATTCCATCGAGTAAATGTCCTAGTATTAACTCGATTTTTATGCGACCAACGCAATACAAATTACCTATAATTTGTGTAAATCGGTTAATTGGCAAAAATTTTTTTGAATTATTTAATCCTGGTCCTGTCGATATTTATGCTAGTAGTTTTTTATTAATTTTAATTCTTTCATTAATCTGTTTGATATTTTCAATTCAGATAAAAAGTGGACATTACATTATAAAATGGGAAATTTAAGGAGTTAAAAATTGATTGCCGTGCATCATTTAATTGTGGAGCATTGACACGTTTTCATTCATCAATGGAGAAAGGAGTAATTTTTGATATATATAAAAAATTAGAGTATACTTAAAATATTTTTTATGGTTAAATATTTAAGAGAAAAATTATATATATCAATGTAATTAGAAATTTTATGCATTACTTTTAAATTAATAAGTAAGATGCTGAAAGAATTAAATTAAAAAAGTTTTTTATCAAAAAAATATCTTCAGCTTTTAATAATAATTATTTTTAATAAATTTACTCAATCATTTTATTCTTGTTAGTAAAATAGAAAAATAGTTTAAAATTCCATTGTATTCATACTTTAATATAAAATATTAAAACTTATAAACTTTCAGGTTAAAAATTGAAGAAAATTTTTATTTAATGAAAAAAGAAATAAAAGAAGATAAATTAATATGGCAGGTATTAAATAATTTTTTAATATAATTATTATTAAATAATTATTAAAAATTATTACTAAATAACTTTAATTTTAAAAACTAATTTATTTTTTAAATTAATTTTATAAAATTTTAAAATAAGTTTTGGCCCTATCCTAAAAAGAGGGCGCCTTGATTTTTTTTCATCATTTTTTCCAACCTTAATATATAAATAATGGTCAGTCTTTTCTTCCTCGTTCAATTCCACTCTTTTTACCTTTGGCATATTCAATTGAGAGGACAGAAAAGCACATACACTACAGACAAAACACGGACGGACACACACAAACTTGTTTTGTCTGTCCGTGTTCGTCTGTGTTCGTCCGGTTTCGTCCGTGCTTTGTCTGTCCGTGTTCGTCCGTGTTTTGTCTGTCCGTGCTCGTCAGTGTTTGTCCGTGCTCATCCGTGTTTGTCCGGTTTCGTCCGTGCTTTGTCTGTCCGTGTTCGTCCGTGATTTGTCTGTCCGTGCTCGTCAGTGTTTGTCCGTGCACATCCGTGTTCGTCCGGTTTCGTCCGTGCTCGTCAGTGTTTGTCCGTGCTCGTCCGTGTTCGTCCGTGCTAGTCCGTGTTCGTCCGTGCTCGTCTGTATTCGTCCTTGCTCATCCGTGTTCGTCCGGTTTCGTCCGTGCTTTGTCTGTCCGTGTTCGTCCGTGATTTGTCTGTCCGTGTTCGTCTGTGTTTTGTCCAACCGTGATTGTCTGTCCGTGAGTGTATTTTTCTGTCTTCTCATTTGAATATGCCACAGGTATAAAGAGTGGAATTGCACGAAGAAGAAAAGACTGACCATTATTTATATACATATTAAGGTTGGAAAAAATGATGAAAAAAATCAAGGCGCCATCTTTTTAGGATAGGGTCTAAGTTTTTAAGATTAAAAATAATGCAAAATTTAATCGAGTTTGGTTCCATTGTTGGGGACCTGCTGAAGGTTCGAACTGACAAGGTTGGTCTGGTGATAAATATAAAAATGTGGAAAGTATTAAGTTAATCTTCCAATGTTTCTAATCTTAAGGAAAACTTAATTGATGATGTAGATCAGAAATAGATAGGATTTTTAGGTTGTAATATCTTAAAATAGGATGTAAATAGGATAAATGGATAGCGTGGAGTAATGGATAGCACATCAGTCCGGTCCGTGAAGATCCAGGTTTTTGCTCCCAGCCGCTGATTAACCTTTTGAAATAGCTAAAGGAGTGAAATAGCTATAACCAAGCTGATTTACTATACGGCCCTTGGAGAAACGTTTAACTCTTTTTAATTAATAATAAACAACTTTTAAATATTTTTTAAAATTATAGCTAATCAATTTTTTTATCCAAACTACAAAAAATTTTGCGAGTACGAGCTTCTTGCTATATCCCTTGCCCTTCCAATACTATCCTGCCTATCCGCTTAAAATAAAATCCACATCAGATAAATTGATTCTTTTAATTATCTTATATATACTCACTCACTCTACAATATACAATAATAAGTCTAATAAAATTTTCCGATGAATAGACGCCTTCGGAAAAAATTTTTAATAATAGTATACCTATACAACCACTCACTTACATTATAGTATTTATTTAAAATTTTATTTAACTTTAATTTGCTTGCCCACATAACTGCGGTGTATATACGGTGTATAATATACTCGAGATGTATACTAGAACTCTTTATGGAATCGAGGAGTGGTATGTAATGTATTATGAAGACCAATGTTTAGTAAAATAGCCTCCTCTGTAAAATGAAGAGTCAAGGGAATAGGAAACACAGTTAAGAAACATGCTGTGGAAAAATTCGTTGGATGGGAGATGGAATTGAACCATCATGGAAAGGCCAAAACCGAAGCACAACTGACTGTGGCACTATCCAACCCAATGATTGGTTATTTATTTTCATTTATATTCTTTTTGAAAGTGCAAACACAACAGAAAGGAGAATAGAATGCAACAGGAATCATCAATGCTTATATGCTCGTACCAAATACGTACTCGTACTTTGGTACAGTTATGCTGCTTAGACCTTCCGGTCAGACGCACATTCAGAGCGCCGGTTTGGGGGGATTTGTGGTTGTGTTTGTTTTGGCCCTTTCAATGATGGTCTATTCCATCTCCCATCCAATGAATTTTTCCACAGCAGAGGGCCTATGATTGACAAACTAAACTAGAATAAATTGAAACATTTATTTAATATTTAAAATATATAAATTAAATGAGTTATTGGGTCAATGGAAATATACATATGAGTAAAATGGGAAATTGGAAATTCTTTGGGACACTTGGATAAAATCGAAAGGAGAATTCAAACTCAATCATTGTTGTTCATTCTTTGGTTAAATATACTGGGAAAGGGATCATACATCAAATACAAAGTGTGTATTCTGGGAAAGTTGGGGAACATGATTAAGATAATTCATGGGAAAGTGAATTGAAAGTTTTTATATGTTTGCGAATGTTCGGGGAGGATAAATAATAGGAAAGGAAATAATAACAATAAATGTGCAAAAATGGAGATAAAGGGAAAGATAGTTGGTGGGAAAGAAGATTATTCCCATAAATTTTTAGGATTTAGGAGATTAACGGAAATATCGAGGGATTTGTGAGGATAAGGCGTATAGGAGGCTCTAACTCGATTCCAACGTCAACTTTCTACGCTCTTCTCTACATAAAGAATTTACACCTCAAATTTTCTATAGAGTCGCCGCTCTAAATTTTATAAATTTTTACAAGTCTGTCTTCCCCAATCGTTTAAATTTTTTGCCACGAATCATTGCCAAGAACATCCGCCACTAAATAATTTTAATTAATTCTCTTTAATTCACCATATCTCTCATTTCCTCTCTCCACATAACGATATAACCCTCATTAAGTTTAATTTAACTTTAATTTATAATTTGTTAATTTAAAAAATAAAGATTCAAGAAAAAATTTAAATGAATTTTTTACATTGGTTCTTAATACATTGTTTAATTTTAAAATTGCTTCAATTGTCGGGTAATAATTATATATACTACTTTTTTAAATAATTAACCTTTAGGAACAAATGCTGGATGCTGTCAAAGTCAACAGCACGAGAATGAATCGGAGGCTCAAGTCGATTATGATGGAGAAGGGGAATGTGAAGCAGAAGATGATAGTGATGGAGATGAAGGCGATTTTCAAGAAGAAAATCCTGATACTGGAGGACAATGGGAAGAAGAGTATGAAGGCGATTTTCAAGAGGGAGAGTGGGAAGAAGATTATGAATGCGAAGCTCAAGTAGAACATCAATATACCGAGCGAGAAAGTGACTTGATGCCTTCTTCATCACAAGGAGAAACTAGCTACCATTATGGTGCATACGATGAGGATATTCATCTGTCTCAGCCACACGATGAAGAGGCAACAGATTGGGAAAATCAGCCTTCTTCATCCCAAACAGGAGGAATGCCTTATATCACTTGCGATGATGACATGACAGCTCACGTTCAAAATTTATCAGAAAATATTCAAAACATAAAGTTAAAAGGTCACAAATTTTATTATTTTTTTCATAAAAGATCATTTTAATGAATTAATATGTATGTACCGTAAATGCTGAAATAATGCCCTCTCTCAAACAAGTACCTCCTCCCAATTAATTATTCCCTACAGCCAGAGAGGTTGAAACAATAATAACCCTGTGTAATTATTTTAGCAAATACAGTAATTTTATTATAGAAGAAGATTTAATTGTTCAACATGAAGCGCTACAAGGTTGACTTATTACTTTATAATATTGTTGTACCTTACCGAGTGTTTTAGAAAAAAGTGTTTAAGAATGGAAATCATAAATGAACGCTGTTTGGTTAATAAAAAGCTTAAATTTGAGATTAATTTATAAAATTCCATAAATTTTAATGGAATTTATATTTCTCAATACCAAATAATATTTCTCAATACCAGTTCCGCCTTACAATATATCATATTTTATATAGTAGTTCATGTCGTTTGGGCTATCACAAAATATTAATATACTCATTAACAATATCAAATATTTTGATAAATTGAAGATATTTATAGCAAAATTTAAGGACGGTCTTATGCTGTTGATTACGACCTCTTGATGATGTTTGACCAGAGAATTCTTCAAAATGCTAGCAATGTCTGCAATCACTTACTCAGCTTAGGGCCTTATGCTAATGAAAATACGCCTGTGACTAACAAATTTTGCGCAAGCATTAGAGATATAGAAATGCATTCCAATTCGAGTAAAGTTTTGAAAGAGAATGGCTATAGTTTTTACTATGCGCCTTTAAATAGAATTGTTAGTGGTATAAGAATTAAATATGATCAAAATTATAAGAATCCTTTTAACTGCGAGAATATTGGTGAAATAAAAATTAAAATCAACAAAATTATAAATCCTGATAAAAGTATTAGAGTTGGTAATTGGACAATCAAACAATATTTTCAAATGTTAAATGATCATATAGCGGTAGCTAAAGCTAATAAAAATCTTATAAATTATTTTTAAAGGCAAAGCTTGAGGAAGGCATACAATTTCTAATTGAACATAAAAATGCGTTGAGGAATAAAAAATTATTTCCTGCAATTGACTTCACTCATGGTTGTTATTTTAACTCAATTTGCGAGTAAAAATAAGAGAAATTATTAGGGTTTAACGGAAATTCCGGTTCCGGAAAGTTCCGGTGCCTTTTTGGTTCCGGGAACAGGAACTCAAATTGGATCCGGTTCCGGTCAAAAGTTCGGTTCCATTGAACTCTATAAATTATTAGAGATGTCCAAGACTCTTGGTCTTGATTCCAAGACTTTTCTTGGGGTTTTCGGTCCTGGTCTTGATCTTGGGGTGAAGAATTGGTCTCGGTCTTGACTTTTTTGGGGGGTTTTGAAAAATACACCCTTAAAGACCGTGAAATATGTAAAAGAGAAAAGAGAAAGATGGTAGGCGTGAGGAGAGAAAAGGACATCTCTAGAAATTATTATAAAAGGGAAAGAATATTGTTACTATAATGATTTCTCAGATACATATAACTAGGATAAATTATTATTATTAATTTTCTATAAATTCATATTATATTTAGATTTTATAAAACAAAATGTTGTTGATATTGATGGATTATTGGTAAAAGCAAAGGAAAATGCTTGTGAATGTACTTATGGTATATATGAACTTTGTAATCAAGGGAGACCCGTAGATTGTTATTCAATTAAAGCTGTTCTATCTAAGATGGCAGTGGACATTTTTGTAACAGCAATTCAAGTCGATGGATTTGATTTTCTGTTGGGGAAATGGCCTTTTCATATCTATAAATATGAAGGGGGAGTCAATCAACAAGATCAACAACAGATTCTTTGAGTATTACTGAATATGATAAACTGTATCAAAATCTTTGTTGAAACTATATCAATTTTGGCGCTTGTCTAGTTTATACGTCCAATAAAAAATGGATTTTTCTTGGTCAATATATGGGTTAGGGAGTCCATAACTGCTGCTAATGTGAGCTTAAATCTCGCTAAGAAATTGTAAGCAATGTTTTAAATTGCGTATTGACACCATGGTGTTGACTATATCATTTATGCCTCTAATATTATATTAGTGATAAGACAATTTTAAAATAACTCTTCCAAAAAATTAAATAGTCATCTCACTTCTTCAATAAATAAATATACTCTTAAACCGACTATTTCTCATGATAAAAAACTAATTAATTCTTAAATAAAAAAATAAAAGGATGTCTGATAAACATACGTTCTACAAAATATAAAACTTATTAAATTTTTGCATTTTAAGTGCATGTAATAAAAAAACTTGGCTTACAACAGAAACTCAAAAAATTTAATATAGTTTTATGTAATAGAATAAATCGTAGGGGAGGAGGCTGCGCTGTTTTAATTAGGAAGCAAATAGTTTTTTCTTAAGCAGTCCATTTCTAAGTTTAACCGAAAAGTTCATTGGACGCATAAACTAGACAAGCGCCTCTTTTTCTTTCTTTCTGAGATTTGAGCTTAGATACTAAAGTGATAATTTTTATAACCTCGAATGTTGCATTTCTTGGGGTTTTTTCGGTTTTGTCTTGGGGTTAGTCTAGGTCTCGAATTTTATTTCCAAAATTTTGATTACCTATATCTAGTTTGGATTTTATTTCCTATAAATTCTTCAATATTTAAAGTGCTCTTGTCAAAGTAACAAAAATTAAGCCAGAAATTTGCCCTATAGGACCTAAAAATTGTCTTGAGTTTTGTTATAGTTTTGAGTCTTGGGGACAATTCTCTCTCCTATCATTTAAATCATTTCGGGTGTTTTTTTGTTCAAGTGTTCTTCATTTTAGTAAAACAGTATTTATTTTTTAAAGCATGGAATATTTTATTTATTCAAAACTTCAAAATTATTTAACAAAAAAATTTTTTTCCGTTATTTTTTTGTTTTTTGTTAAATATTTTTGTTAGTACCTTTAATATCATTTTATTTAACATTTTGATAAATTCTATTTTCTATTCAATATTGCAATATTATTCTGAGAAATTATGTTATTATTGTTTACTTCGTCTATTCTACATAGATTTTTAAGCATAGATAATTCAGATTAATATTCCAGTAACTACTGATTATTTAAATTTATGTTTCAATACCAGAGTTCTAGATCATCCTTAAGTCTTTTATATAATGAGTTAATATTGCCATTCTAAAGAGAATGGCAATATTAATTACTATGAGTCTTTAATAAGAATTGTTAAGGCTATAAGAATTGAATATTATCACAATTATAAGATATATCCTTTTAACTGCGAGAATATCGGTGAAATAAAAATTAAAATCAACAAAATTATAAATCCAGAAAAGAGTATTAGAGTTGGTAATTGGTCAATCAATCAACATTTTCAAATGTTAAATGATCATATTGCGATATGTATTATCCATGTCTCATTCCAATTTCAATTCTTGACCAATTTCAATTTCTTGTTCTGAAACCCCAAATTTTTTGTTGCAAAGTTGGAGTTGGGTTCCCTAACATTTCTTCATGTTCGGGACCTATGCCCACTTAGTCTGGGACCATTCCTTACCCTATTTTCCGATTTTTTTGGACTACTATCCATTTGAACAGCTCATCAACAATTTTAATCGAATAAAATCTCGAAATTTTCCAAATATATTTTTAAAGGCAAAGCTTGAGGAAGGGATAAAATTTCTCAAAGAATATAAGAATGCGAAGAAAAACAAAAAATTTTTTCAAGAATTTGACTTCGAGCAAGGTTTTAATTTATATATTATCATAAGGATTTAAAACGCTTAGGCGGGGGTTAAACAATCTAAAAGTATAAATGAGAAAGCATTATTTATGTCCTGGTAGCTCAGTGGTAGACTCCTGTATGTGATGAGAGAGAGCACCTAGCAATAACTAGATAAGAAGCTAGTTTGAATCCTGCGCGGTGCTAAACTCTTTTTTTTATAATAGAATAACAATATCCATAAGATTATTAAAAGGAAGAAAAGTATAAGAATGTGGATCTTCACGATAAATATGAAACTAAACATTGCTATTATTTTATAATTTATATTTAGATGTTATGAAACAACATGTTGTTGACATTGATGAATTATTGGTAAAAGCAAAGGAAAATGCTTGTGAATGTACTTATGGTATATATGAACTTTGTAATCAAGGAGGATCCGTAGATTGTTATTCGGTTAAAGCTGTTCTATCTATGATGGCTGTGGACATTTTTGTAACAGCAATTCAAGTAGATGGATTTGATTTTCTGTTGGGAAAATGGCCTTTTCATATCTATAAATATGAAGGGGGAGGCAATCAACAAGGTCAACAACATATTCCTTGAGTATTACGGAATATGGTAAACTTATCCATATTTTTGTTGAAACTATATCATTTTCGGCGCTTGTCTAGTTTATGCGTCCAATAAAAATTGGATTCCCTTCCCCCTAACCCTCAAATATACATGTAGAGAGTCCTTAACCGCTGCTGAGCTTAAATTTCGTTCAGACTTTGTTAAACAATGTTTTAAATTGCGTAGTGAGCACCCTGGTGCTGACATTAGCATTTATGCCTCTAATATTATCTTAAGAAGTCAGATAGACAATTTTAAAATAACTCTTCCAAAAAACTAAAAAGTCATCTCACTTCTCTAATAAATAAATATACTCTTAAACTGACTATTTCTAATTAAATAAACTTTAATTAATTCTTAAACAAAAAATAAAAGAATGTCTGATAATCATACGTTCTATAAAAATAAGATTGATAATATTTCTTGCAATTTAAGTGCATTTAATATAGATATCTTCTTTGTAGCCGAAACTTGGCATACAACAGAAACGCAAAATATTTTTAACTTAGATATACTCGAAAAATTTAATATATAGTTTTATGTAATAGAATTAATGTTAGGGGAGGAGGCAGCGCTGTTTTAATTAGGAAGCATATAGTTTTTTCTTAAGCAGTCCATTTCTAAGTTTAACCGAAAAGTTCATTGGACGCATAAACTAGACAAGCGCCTCTTTTTCTTTCTTTCTGAGATTTGAGCTTAGATACTAAAGTGATAATTTTTAT